AGAGAGAGAGAGAGAGAGAGAGAGAGAGAGAGAGAGAGAGAGAGAGAAAATTGCCCTTTCATACGCCGATCCAATGTGGAATGCAAATTTTCACTGAGATATCGGGCTTGTCGAGGACAAAGCAGCACTGGTGTCGTAAGTATAACAAAAAAAAAAATATATAAGTACTTAATGCATATATCCTATACAATTATAAACTACATTCTATTTAGACAGTATATAAATGAACGAGTGTGACGAGTATTTTTCACACTCCGGCACATTTACAGCGACAGGCATATGAGAAGCGCGGAGAGACCCTTGGGAGCCCTTCTACACGGGATTCATCCCTACTGAGACCTGGAACAGAAGTGTCGTTGTTAGAAAGAAAGAAAAGAAAAGAAAGAACGAGAAACGAAATACCGTAGCGTGCGATAATTAACGTAATTACGAGGAGCGATATCATGGACGTTAGCGAGACGATGCTCGACTATCGTCCCCGGATTCCTGAATGTATGTACATTAGCCCTCTCTCTCTCTCTCTCTCTATCGATACATCTAGATTAGATATCGGATGACTGAACGTGTAATTAGATATTAGGCGACTATATATTAGCCGTGTATCGAGGACTCGCGGGGATTGATTGATTACATCGTGTACACAAGATACTCCACGCATACCTCTTGAGGGGGTACAGGAAGGTCGACACGCTCTTCTCCGTATTACCCGACTGCACCCTGCAAGTATAGTCGCCCATGTCGGTCCACTTGAGATCGTCGATACGCAGATCGCCGTTCGGCAGCACGGTGCGCCTCCTGAACCCGGACGTGCTGATCCTGTTGCCCAGGTTGTCCAGCCAATAGAGATACGGCATCGGCTGGCCCTCGACTCTGCACGGCAGGATCACCGTGTTCCCCTGATACATGAATCTCCACGGGGCATGCAGGGTGACGATAGGCTGGCTCTCCCTGGGGCATTCTCCGGTCCTGGACGCTTTCGGGCAGGAAGCGATCGCACGAGATTAGCCGACGTTACAGAGAGTGAGAGACGATGCGCTCACTCGTTGGCAATGGTCACGATTTATCTCACTTACTGTCGACCAAGAGCAACGCCGGCTTCGAGTGGGCCACCTTGCCGCCCGACACGGACACGCAGTACCTGTAACCAGTGTCCTCAGGCTTCACGCAGTCGATCACGTACGTGGAGGTGAGCTGGCCCATCCCATCCCATTGCCGGGGCATACGATTAGCGTCTTCTCGAGCCCGTGTTATCATCTCCTGGATCTGTCGGAATGACCACCGCGTTGGATGCAGCAGACGTGCGTTATATCGCCGTGACGATATTCGTTCGAAGACAGAGACGGGAACGAAGAAAGCCAGGGAAGTGACTCGGGGGAACGACTTGGGGAACGATCGGCGTTGGCTGCGAACGGAGGGAAACGAGAGGGACACGAGACACGATAGTAGTAACGGCGGATTTTCAGAGAGTGGACCACGGATGGACGTTTCGCTCCAGGTTTTCCCGGCCTCGCCCGGTCTGGAAGAGCCCCGTCCGCTCGATTGTGGGATTCGCCGTCGTTACTTATGCGCACACGCCTGTGCCGGATTATTAATCACAGGTTAACCCGAGGATTAAGCCGAGGGTTGGAGTAGCGTGCGGATAATAAAGAGAGAGAGAGGGGGAGAGGAAGAGATAGAGAGCGCTCAGCGTAATCGCGAGACCCACCTGGCTCTCAGCTTCTGTCCCGCTGAACCAGTAGACCTGGGGCGACGGATTGCCAACTGCTTCGCATTGCAATTCAACGCGACTCCTGAAACGAAATATGCGATGAATCGGGCGAAAACGCGCTCGATCACGTTACCGATTGCGTATCGCGCGGTCTCTCGTTATCGAACGGCCCGCGGCGAGCGCACACTCACCCGACGGCGACTTGCAGCGACACCGGTTCCTGCAAAATCCTCGTCCAAGTCGTCATAAAGCTCCTCTGGAACAACGTTTTACGTACATTCGGATGTTTAGAAAACGGAAGGAAAAATCTGTCTGGATACGGCGCGCCATTGAACTGAAATTAAACAGGCAAACGTAACGGTGAGAGTGAATAACGATAAGCCGGGTCGGGCGGATAAAAAGACGAGGGGGGAGGGAAGAAAGCGAAAATGATACGATGAGAAAAGGGGAGCACGGAGGAGAAAACCCGAGCGTGTGTCCGCGACTTCTTCTCGACGAGCTCTGTTCAAGATTCGAGTTCACTGGAGACGCTCGCGCTTCGGTATACCCTTTTGTCTTCGAGCCCGGCGTCTCCATCGGTGCTCGCCGCTACGCCGGATCGATCGATCGCCAGCAGCAGTATCAGCGGGATTTGAATTGCAACGAGGCACAGCGGTGAGTGCCCGAGGAGGCCTTGCATCTTGGAGCTTGATGAGGCTATCTATAATAAAGGAAATCTTCAGCCGTGTCATCGTGGAATGCGCTGAGAGAGTGACCTTACTCCCGTCTAGTCTTATCTCGGGGACGAGGAACTAATGGACGCGACGAAGAGGAGAGATGGACTCACCTCGGTTGTGCGCGTTTCACCGAGTGTTCAAGTACTGAATGCCGACGTCGCGCTCGTCCGGATCCGTGGCACACGCGCCGAATTAATGAAACTTCGCCGGCGGAATATATGAGTGAGAGAGAAAGAGAACGGTGCCGATTCGCGCTTCGATGGACGATCGACGACGACGACGACGATGACAACGACGTCGTTCGTTTGTTCGTCAGTCCGGCGAGTCGTTCGACTTGCAATGTATTGCGATTACACTTGCGTCGCGTGTATATTATTACACGCACGGCTCGGAGTATACATTTAATACACGCCTATATGCACACGTGCAAATCAGAGAGTGACTGATTTACGTTGAATAGCCGAGCGGCTAATGCGCGTCCTGTGTGCTCACACATAGGTAGCCCGAAACTTGGAAAAAGAGGGCAGGTCGAGAGCGGATGTGAATGCAATGTCACACTAATTGTTGCATCATCCTTTTTTTCGGCTTGAGCCGGTTTGACCTGACTTGACCGGGCTTAGAGCCGGCTCAAGAGGCGACCGTGCCGGCGGGGACCGGCCTTGAGGGACACGTGCGCGAGACATTCTTCATAATGGATGCTCCTCCCGGTTTCTTTTTACCTGCTTTTTTGTGTCCTTTTCGAAGGCGCGCGTGTTCTCCCACGGCCGCGCGGCTTTAATTTCACGCTCTCTGCATAGAGATTCACCACGGACGCCTGTCTCGTCATTGTCGTCGTCGTCGTCGCCCGGCTCGAAAGACACATTCAACGTTTCTCGTCCTTACCCCGCCGTATTAATAAGTTTCTCACACGCGCGATTCGCTCGGAGCGGGCGAACGTGGACGGACGGAGCCGACCGCGTATTTGAATGACACGTGCGCGAGAGAAGTGTGTGCGCCTCCTAGTCCCTCCGAATATACATATACGCGGACATATGTCGAGCTCTTCCTTCTCCTCTCGCGAATTGCGCAGTTTCTTTCAACCGGTCCTCGCAGGACTCATAGGCTCTAACGAGATGTTATCAAATTGACGCGCACATTTTTGCGCGCATCCTTCCTGCCACGTAATTCTTCTCACAGGCATACACGTGTCCGCCGAGATGCGACAAGTGCTCGGCTCGAGCGATGTGTGTTTATATGTGTTTTGCAAAAGTACGACACTGTGCCTTACCTCGCGTGCGATGATATGAGTTTCCCGGAGTTTCCCGATACTTCCCTGCGTCTCGGCGGAGCGCTCGGAAGGTTAATGAAAATGGGAGGAAAAAAAAAGGGCAAGCGCTCTCGCGGTTTACCAGCGATGAACCGAGAGGACCCGACTGAACAGAGGTGGAACGGTTATTGGTCCATTTATACATTTCGAATGTAACAGCGGGCGCCCTTCCCTTTTCTCCGATTGGTCGTTATTACCCGGGGAGTAGGGCGATAATACCACGGCAAACAATCGAATTCATTATCTTCACGGGTCGTTTGTACCCGCGTAATAGATATCCCCAATTTGTTTCCACCCCTCGTCCATCGATTTTTATTTCAAAAGGGACACGACACAATAATTACTTTTATTGAATGCGATCGTATCAGGAAGGAAATGACACACCAATTATCCGTCAGATCTATATCTCTCTCGTGTGGAAATATTTTTATATTTTCCCCTCCTCGTGTTTCCTTTTCTCTCTCTCCCTCTCTTTCCCCCTTTCTACTCTTTCTCTCTCTCTCTCTCTCCCTCTCCCTCTCTCTTTCTCTTCTGTCTCCCTCCGCCTCGTGCGACCTACGAGCGGTCGCAGGAGCGATTCTGGGAGCTACCCAAGACCGACGAGACAGAGCCACGTTGGTCAATCGGAATTATTTAACGGAGCGTTTAATCGGGAGATAAGCAGCGTCACCTTGACACTTCAAACTTGGCGAGCTGAAGAGATTTAACGAAGCGATCGAGATTATTTCGCCTTGGTCGTAGCCGCCCTCCCGCGGGGCCTTCAATATTATGATGAATTATGATCTCTCGATCCGCTCGAATGGAGATAATTAGCGCGCGACTTTGCGCCGAACCGCGCAGATTCCTCCGTCTCATCATCATCCCCTCCCCTCTCTTCTCTTTATTCTCCCCGAAATCCTCTTTTAACTAACTAAACGCAGCGAGTAGCGACGATTGGTAATCGTCCGCGAGGATTCGTTTTCGCGGGGATTCGCTCAGGTTGGCTCCGGCGAGAAGACGCGTACGATGTATCGAAGATTATCGGTCGCACGACTTCAACAAGGCGGTGCCATATATCTTACTTTTATGTTACTTTTATTACGGATCGATCGCGCGCGTTGTATCTTTCGTTTTATTAGTCGCAATAATATTTCATCATTTCCGCGTAATTTAATGCCCGCCGAAAGATAAACGAACGTTATTACGGCGCGATCGTCCCGCCGGAATCTAGAATATAGAATCGAGTAGACGTAGACGAGCGATTTTTGCAGTAAAAATAATACAAGGAAGAGGGAGAGAGAGAGAGAGAGACACGTGGGCTGATGATTCTGCGGCTGGCATGCGCTCTCCTCATCTCGCCCGGCAACGAAATTGGAGTTGCGTATCAAATTTATTAAATTTATCGCGGACGAAACGGAGCTGATGATGCGATGACGGTGAATGAACTCCGCGAATGAGCGCGCAATTCGCGGTACATAAATGATCGGAATCGGTCTATTCAAACGGGAAAGGAAACTCGCCCGCGTTCTCGGCTATCGCGATAGCGCGCGAGGAAATTCGCGATAAATCGCGAGCAGCGCGGGTTGTAAGATCTCCTCGTGGCTTGCGGAGTAATGGAGATTTTTCATCGATAACGACTATAACCAACGTTGCATCGCGGTAACGCGAGCTACGATAACCATACCTCGTAATGATATCGAGAAAGATTCGTATTTCCGCAGAAATCCCGATCCAAAACGTCGCGATTTTCTCGCTCGATTACAATCGACAGACGTATATTCCGTAGCGCACGTCGCCGATGATCAAGCAACCATTCATTTCTATTATCGAGTCGAAGAATACGGCACAAATTGCAATTAGAGAGAGAGAGAAAGAGAGAGAGAGAGAGAGGTGGGGGGAAGAGAGATGCAAATGTGGTCGAGTGGAATATCGCGAGCGATGCGGACGAAACGTTGACAGCGAGGGAGTGTATCGCAAAGAGGATTTTATTTCTCAAAACACGTAATAAAAATACATACTCCATATGTCACAAATATATACATCTCCGTGTCGGCACGATAAATCTATGAAGTTCCATTGAAACTTAAACACACGTAAACGCACACACCGCCGCGCCCACTGAGTAAAAACATGCGCGTCCATCGCGAACGAACGAACGAACGAACGAACGAACGAACGAACGAACGAACGAACGAACGAATGACGTTCGGGGTTTGAGGTAGTATCTTCGATGAAATTTTCGCTTCCGCAAGCGTTTCGCGTCGTCGGAGAAACGCGAATGAAGTGTATCCGTGATGTCGGCCAGCCAGTGAAGTTGATAATGCTGACGTCCTATGAGAACATGATCAGTCGACGTTTTCACATTATTGACTCCATCTTGATGAATTTCAAGCGCTGCTGCAGGAGATCCTCCTCCGCCTTCATCTCGTATCTCGTGCCCGCTGGTTTCGTCGCCGACCTGAACAATTCGAGCCCCGATTACCGTTCGATCGTCGCCAGAGAGTAATATCTGCTAGCGCGAGATACATATACTCACAGGTCCGAGCATAACTGCGCAAAATGCTGCGGCATGAGGTAACGCGCGTGCGGCGAGAGCTCCAGGAACGGATCGTTCAGATTCTCCAGGCTTTCCAGGCCTTCGAATCTGCAGGCACAACAAGTGCACGACAAAATTTCAGACGTGTTCGCGTCAGCGAGATCAGACAGGATCATTTCATATTGTTATTACATAATGTACATATACAGGGTGTCCCGAAAAATGTATGCACACTTTGAACGATTATAAAATCAGTATTCATTAACACACGGTTCATCTTCAAAATTTCTAAAAAGTATCTACATGAAATTAATAATATTTCTGTCAACGCCTGTTTCCAAACCGATGACCGTTCTGATTCCAGACACTGGCAGGCAAAGTCAACGGAATCGCAAACATCAAGTATTTTTAAAGTGTGTATACATTTGTTTCTGAGACACTGTATATCGAACATATTCCACAGAGGGCCCCACCTCACGACGAAGTGTTTGCGGTACTGAAACATGAGATCCTTCATATTGCGTTTTGCCGATTCAAGTACCACGGGAAACGCCACGTCGCGGAAGTCGCCTATCTCATATTTGCTGAGCTTATTCAAGTTCGTGTCGCTCGCCCTCGGGTTTGATATAACCACGGATCTTGTGGCCGGCATATCTATCCAAATAACGCGGCATCCGCTGTCAAGCAATTCGGTGAACCATAAAACAGCGCCGACCCTAGCTACATCATTCCATTCAGCGCCGTCGTGCCAGTCATGCACCTTGAAAGTACGATTGATCGTGAAAGTATCTTCGACACACATCTCCGACATTACCAATCTAATCTCTCATTGCACCTTAAATTCCTCCGATTTTAACGAGAAAATTACTCGCAATTTTTCAGAGAACAGGATGTCCCAAAAATACATATAAACGCTTTAACAGCTTTGCGCTATCCGCAGCGCCTGGACGTCATCAGTTTGAAAACAGGCGTTGACAAAAGAACAATTATTCATTTCTGTAAATATCTTTTAAATTTTGAAAATGAACCGCACGTTAATGAACGCTGAACTTTATAATCATTCAAAGTGTGTATACATTTTTTGCGGACACCCTGTATATTCTCGGCGTAGCGCATGTTATTACACGCGGATTATTTCGACGATTGTCCGACATGAAAAAAAAAAAAAAAGAAAACTCACGGTGCAGGAACACATTTTGGTAAGCATCTCGCGAAAGTCCTTCATCATCGCCATAAAAGACACCGAGCTTTTGGTGTATAGGAGAACGATGTCGTCGTATGTGAGATTGTCACGATCGATAACCTTCTCGTTGTCGTTGTTCTCAACGATGTCGAAGTCGACGGACTTGAGGCAGCTGGGATTCGTGAAGTCATCCTGTTGCGGATTCACGTACAGATTGACCCCCTCGTTGCGAATGCGCAAATAATGCATGAAATATAACGTCACAACTATCACCAATACGACCAATACGATCGCAATGATCGGCAACAACAGATACGAGCTTGTGTGCTGCGTCTTAGTCGACTTCGTTACGGTCTCAACGTGCTGCGAGTCTTCGAAGGTTCTGGTGCAACCTGTAAATGTGATTTATAACGTAATAAGAGAGCATACGCGCGAAGTATGAAATGCAAAATACTTCCGTCGATTCTGATTCTCTGTAAGTATTTTATGACGTTGTTATCTGCTACTCACGCTTCAACCACGTGCACGTTATATTTTTGTTCACCGGTGACGACATCGGCGGCTTCCAGATAGTGTTTTCGTGACACCGTTCGTCGATTACGAACAGTACGAAACAATAACTTGCTGTTTGTATATTTTGTACTTGATAATTGCACTGCACAGTCTTCCCGTTTCCCCGCATCTGCGTGCCCGATCAAAGTTTCATTTTTTTTAACGTAATTTGCATACATACATAAAATGCATAAAAACTATCCCACTCTCATGTTTCTTATTCGATACATCGACATAAATGAAAACGATGCAGTTCGATATGAATAAACATATCATAGTAAAGCCAGCGGCGCACGATGCTTGTTTTCGTGCTGGATAGAAATACTGCGTTATGATTGGTGCATTTCCAAAAATGAATGACAATACACCAATGAAAACGCAGTATTTCCATCCAGCAAACAATCCAGCACGAAAACAAGCATCGGGTGCCGCTGGCTTAATACTGAGTCAAGGAAGGGCTATATTTACCATATTTATATTGCAATTAGGATTTTCCGATGCCTCCTGCAAAAAGTAAAACAGGTCAGTTGAGACAGAAATATATCTCGCAAGGACGAAATTTTAATAATCAAGCATTACCAGGTCAACTTTCCACATACGCATAGGCTTTTCACCCCAGGTGCAAGGCGCAGTCTTATTAGGATCCGATATTAATCCCACTTTAAGTAATAATCCTGTATCTGCCGATAACGAAGCGTCCAATGTGAAATTTGTTATTTCATGTCTGAAAGCGCAAGCATTTAAGCTTTTACGAGAAGCAACTTTCTAAATAGATGCTCCGAGAAATACCGTTACCTAAGATTTGTAATTGGAAATCGATTCAATAATGCAACGGATGTAATCTTGAGCGTTTAGATAGAAGATTTGCAGAGAGATGTATTAATATGTGTACCTTTGATCAAAAGTACGATATACGTCGTATTTACAGGTGAACTCCGGTTCCGCAACTTCCACACGCTTATAAGTAGTATTCAAAAATGTATGGCCCCTTATTATGTATCTTTGTCTACCGATATGAAACCGAAGTGCGTAGCATCCTGTGAATATGTAATAGAACTCCAGCGAAATATTATCCTGTAGTAACAATTGTTATCTGTAGTTTAAGACTGCGCACTTACATATTTAAGGACCTCTCAAGATCATATGTATCTTGTTATATGCATATGTATACTTATCTGCATATGTATACTTACACATTCCTCGTACATATAATGAGACAATGTTTTTTATTCTTACCTTGCACAAGGATGCTGTTGAATTATCATTATATCTTACAAGTTGATTAGAATTATTTGCGAGAACACACAAAGACCTCTCTATGGTATGTATTTTTCTGCTGATATCCTCAGCTTTTTCGAACTTATACCGTAAACATTCTCTTTCATCCTTGATGGACGGCTCGACCAATAAGGCGACTCCATATCCACACTCCGTCTTAGGAGCCTCAAAATCAATCCTGAGGAAATCTTCAACAAAATGAAGGACACAATTAATGGATATAATCGCAGATGCTTAAGAATGTTTCGAGGACTAGTCGTCCAATGATGTACCTGTCCATTCCCCTCCTTCAGCAGGTATCACAGTGAAGTTGATCTCAGCAGGAACATCTTCGACCGAACAATAATTAATAACTGAGGAATCATAAGTAACCAAGTTGTAGTTACTCGCGTCTCCGCGGCATTTCTGCTCGAAAACATACTGAAAGGGAAAGATAACGTGTCACCGTGTTGAAAGAGCACGATCGGTTCGCTGAAATCAATGAAGGAGCTTCCAAGAAACTCTAGCTTGTATTCTTATTGGTTGTCGACGTCACAGTTATCTACTACCACATGTAAACACTAAACAAAATTGCAAAACTGTGACAAGGTTACGCGCTACGCTAAGCGAGATAAGCAGGCACACTGGGAGACTCACGTTGCACTGCACATCGCCCAAGGTAAATCCATCTGTCCGTAAAGTCAGAATAAATAAAAGGAGATAGACACTGTACATCATCCAGTCTTGCTTTTGTGAAATACACAGCTACGCCGTGCGGGTCAAAGACGTGTCGAGCCAGGCTTGCGAGAGGGACCACGCACGAATTACGGAATGATGTGCATGTTCCGATTCGACGGAAATACAACGATGGTCTTTATTACAGTAACCAAAGTCTTTGGCACGAAACGAAACAGATTAATCTTTTGCACGCACGGCCGCGCTTGATCAGCCCGCAGGCGGAACCGCGAAATTCGAAAGCGAAGCACTCGACAACACGGAGACCGAGTGAGAAATAGAGGATCTTCGGAATCTTCACGATTTTACCCGGCCGATCAATTCCTAAGAGCTCACTGGTAGCGCACGATTCGGAAAGATTCACTCGTAAGTTTCCCAATTAATTTCCTCCTGCTCTTGACTCTTCCTAGAAAACCGTGTTCAATTTATCTTCCTCTCGTCGTATGTCAGTTTTCGGTACAGCCGAGGCGTATATCCAACAAAAGGGAGCCGAGATCATGCGCGCTCGCTTTTATATATATATCGCTTCTGACGTTACAAGCTTGAAGTACGTTACCAAACTATCGCAAGTCGATACGCGCTCTCGCGCACGATCGATCGCGTAATTTTTCCTCTAGGACGGAAATACGGGAAGTGGAATATTTTCAAATTAGAAAATGCACGGCTCTTCACGAATTCAGGTTGGAGGAGAACATTTATGACCTTCTCAGGTTGAATTTTCTCTTCCAGCGTGAAAAGTGTACATTTTCCAATTTGAAAACATTTCACTTTGCAGATTTCCGCCCCTAGAGTTACATATCGATATACTCAGAGCTACCAATCGTTCACAGAGGGCGTCACAAACGTTAATCATTTAAGATACACGGGAATTGGTGGTCCTGTTGAGAGTTCGAAAAACCCGCTATTGTACCTCGCATTGTATCAACATCAATCAGAAGAGGTGCGTAGTGTTCGGATTAATCTGCAAAGATGTCGGATAAACGTACCTTGGGCAAGCGATTGGGACAGCGAGTTGGTAAAGAGGCGATCGTTCTGGGAAGAATCACGGAGGTGAAGTCTCGAGAAAATGTGCTGAATTAATATTGTTAGGTTAAGTTGAGTTACGATATGACGTCGTTATTTTAGTTATGCTCAAGTGAAAACGATTTATATTACCGCACTAAAGCAAGAGAGTGTTATATATAATATAAATAATTATACAAATTATACAACTAATTAATATATATATATATATATAAGTAGTTTCTATTGTGAATGTATTTGATGGGATTCAGAAAAGTGCAAATGGCATGAACATAGAATTAACAACGACAGATAACGCCTTAATCAACGTGACATTACCCCAGCCACTTGATCACAACGCTTCAGGTTACATAGAAGTACGCGGTACGGTGAAATCAAAGTCTACTCTATTATGCAAGAACTTTGTATGCTTTCCTCCTGACATAACAAAAACCTTTGGTGAGTAAACAAGTTTCCCCGATTGATCGTTCCGATGAACACACCGTTGTCTCTCTCTTAACAAGGATGTTTGCTGCAGATGAGACGAAGTACAACAACATCATGAATATAAGACATGCGATAGGCGATCAGTTGGATGGAATATTCTACGAAGAATAGAGTAAAACCAACTAGTGCCTAAGATATGTGAAAATTATTTACTGTCTTCATTGTTTACATTTTTACATTCCATTAAACATACTGGCATGCTTTCCGTTATAACAAAAAAGAAATGCTGTTGTGAAGAAAATCATCAGAAACATAATTCCTTTCTCTGTACATGAAGCGTGTATAAGTACACCCGATAAGTATACAAATTACAAGAATTCCTGAAATCATGAAAGAGCCATTGCCATCTTTGTACGGAAATATGAGAGAATTTCTGTCTGCATGTTCTGTCTCTTTATTTCGCTGACGTATCCAATGATAAACAACGGCAGGTGCAAGATGTAACTGGGCATTCAGAATGTTGTCTAAAAAAAAAAAAGAGAGAGAGAGAGATCATCACATAGAAATAAATAAGCGTTGCAAACTTCCCCACACCATCCTGAATATTATTATAACATCCCCCTCGTGAATATGTATAATAATAATAATAATATTGATAACATTTTATTGATCTGTTATCACAGCAGTTAGCCGTTTTACGTCGACACGACTGCGAATTTCTTACCGAAACCATTGAGTTATATGCTCAGCGTGTCCCCCGTGTTTGCACGTTTGGCACCATGTAAACCAATTGTTGAATTCCGTGAGCTTGCTATCACAGTCCTCGCTACGGTTGACATTGGAGGTGGTCAACCCGCTGACGGTGCCCATGTACATCAAACATATCGCGCAGCGCGGCAAAGGTTTGCGGCAATTCGGGCAGGCCGACATCTACGATTTAGTGGATAATTGAGAAAAGAAGAAGAAGAGGAACGCGTCTCCTCGTTATCGTGGGAAGGACCACAGCGCGGACCTACTTTCAATTTGTTCGAGGTGCTGCCTAGCCTACCGAACGGAGCTCTCGCCCTGCTCAGACCCTGCATGAAAGCCGCGATGCTCTTGCCGCAGAAATTGCACGAAACGTATATCTGTTGCGGCGGGCTCTCGTTCGTCGAGGACCTCATTGCGATGTCGAATTGAGCTCTTTGGTTCCACATTTTCCACGCGTCCAAAAGATTCCTGTAACTGTGATCGTCACGGCGATCGTCAAACGCACGATTAAACGCCGAGGCCGTAAACGGTTCGGTAAATATTCGCAGGAAAGAGAAAATTCGATCAATACTTAGCGATCCACACTTGAACTTGATTCTCCTGAAGCAATTTAGGCGTTAAAGCTCGAATGGCGATTAGACTGCAACTCTGGGCGTCCCCGGTGATTTCTAAGTACCTATTTAACAACTGTATACCTTCCGTACTCGCACCTGAAACACAACGACGTATTGATAAATGAGAGCTTGATCACCGGATGAATTAAAGCAGCTTACCAGCAAGAGACAGTCAACATAAATATAAACAGTGCTGCAGAACAAACAAGACGAACATTTGCGTCACTATCACGGTAATTAACAACTTTTTCGTCATTTTTATGTAATTTTTATACTTATAGCATTCCAAATTTACCGAAGAATTGTCTTCTCTCTTTGTGCTACTTTGTGACGATATTGATGCTTTAGAAAAATCTCTCCGTATGATATTTATTATAGTAAAACATAAGCTTAGAATATATCTTATCATAATAAACAGAAATTGATACTCTTTAATATTCATGTTTAACAAACGGCAAGTATTTTTGGGTGACAGCGATAAATAAATGAAAAAGTTATAATTGACGATGAAATTATTAGCTTCTTCGTTTAAAGTAGATTTGGATCACTTCGGGGCCGATTAATGACGCTTTAAATCCTGGTAATTGGCCATAGAGGCTTATGACGCTATTGGTTCCTGGATCGAAACCTTTCAAAAAATTATATATATATATATATATCACCAACCAGCGACTGTTTCAAAAATTCAAGTGTACCACCAAGCACTCATGCACTGCGCGCAATTGTGCGATGCAGCGCCTGATCTGTGTTTCCTTGCTGGAAAGCAGCCTGAGACACACCTGTAAGCAAGAAGCCCGCGAGATTTCCCTCTTCGGTCAATTTCTGGGTCAGTCTCTTCAAGTAGTCGTGCAGTTTGCCGTCCGACAAGAACATGAGGGCGAACGCCACTCGATCCTCGACAGCCATGCCGCCTTCGTTCTGAAAGACCAATCGTTCGTCAACTCCCAAGCCCGAGGATTTCCTTCGCGAAGGTCCCCACCCTTACGCCCTCGCGCACTCCTTCTACGTACAAGTACGTTCTCGTAGGAATCGTTGTCCGCAGTAAGGAAGGCGAAGGTCGCCCTTAGGTAAGGATCCGGCAATTGAGACCTGGACTTCAGACACGACTCCCTCCACATGCTATTGCGATCCTCGGAGAATCCCGACAGCGCCATTGCGACGATATCCAGGCTGGCGGTCATCGACAGCTTGCTGGCGCCTCGGTTCAGAATCTCGATCGCCTGCCTGAGGCAGAGATTGAACACCGCGAGCGCCGCTGCTCTCGCGTACAAGCCCTCCCTCTCCAGCCCTTCCAGATATGTGTTGTCGTACAGCCCGTTGGTCTCTTTGTCGAATCGCAGGCCGCACAGCAGAAGACTCTTGTCTCTGTCGGCGGATCTGTGGCGATCAAATATGGGACACGTTGAGCGAGCAACTCCACGCTTCTCTGCGCGAACGTGCGATCACGTGTACCTGTAGATCTTAGCCGTGTGATTGGAGCCTATGTCCGTCCACGAGCGGTGAATCAGCTCGGACTTTAAGAAACCGTTGACCGGGTTCTGCTGACCGTCTAATTTCAGAACTGTTCTATGTAAAGGTCGGAGGAATGAAGCCATATATGCTTATATGCGCTTACACGTGCTAGCTGGGTAGAGAGCGTCGCAATTGTTACCTTATACCGGGATGCTTGTTGTCGACGCTGTGGATGGTGCCGTCCTCCACCAAGGCGCCGCTCAGGTACAACCATTGCCACAGGTGCTTTAGAGTCTCGTTCTCGGCTATTTCGCCGTTTTGCGCCAAATCCGGCTGCAAATGCGACGTATGAGCGTTTCGAACGCGTTTCACTCTCAAGCATTGGAGCACGGAACGACCATAAAATTACCACGGTTTGCATATTAATTATCGTCATTGTTGTGGTTCATTACAAGAGTCCCGAGAAGTTAGGATTATAAAGAAAATCACTTAAGCGGAATTTGCAATGAGAATTTAAGTCTTAAGAAATCGACCAATTACAGTCGAATGTGATTGGTCAATTTCTTAAAGCTTAGAGCTTAAATTCTCATTGTAGAACCTGCTTTATACACAATTAGAAATCTTAAGTTTCGTTAAGGATGCGCTTCCTCTCGCTTTAAGCTGGATTTATACATACAATAGGTGTGCTACAGGCAAGTCCCTTCAGCCCTTCGTTCCAAGTATTAAATCGTAACGTAATTTCTAGCAAAAAGCATCTCCGGTGCTTTTCTCAGACGTCGCAATTTCCGAGATTTATTTAAGCGTTATCACGACTTTTGGCAGTACGGGAAACACCTTCCGCCAGAAATCACGTCACATTTTATCGCTTCGAGCAAAAGGCTGAAAACTTATCACGCTTGTTGTAAAGATCGGGCTTATTCACTTACAAGCAAGCCATATTCCGCATTGGCACGTTTCTTGGTCAAAATCGCGATGTCGTCCAGCGCCTTGTACGTATTGTCCTCGCTGTGTACGTATTTCAACGATTTGAAGGCATGATTCCACGTGAGGCGCGACCCGGAAGACCAGCTAACTGTTATCCTCTCCCACACGGTGTAGTCGGTTATGCCTGTAAAATAAGCATGCCCTGGTATGTGTAAAACATTCACAATCGAATAGTTGTAATCGTACAAAAAAAATATATATATATAAAAATAAAAAAAAATATATATATATAATATATCGCCGGACCTTGTTGCGATATTGCCAGTAATCGGTTCACATGCGTCGGATGCCACGAAAAATTCACGGGAATATGCCAGGACGGTACGACCGCCCTCTCCAGGACACCAGGCTCGGTATCTTCCCCCCCACTGTTCTGTATGTCATACAGATGTAACGCTCCTGCAAAAGAATAATACCTATATTATTGCTTTGATTCTTGGTCTTCTTTCATAGCAACTTGCATTACGGCGGTACTTGCGACATATAAATCACAAGCAGCTCCGTTAAATACACGTATATTGTACCTGAATCTTTCTGCAATGCGCCGAGAAGATTGCGCCTGGTCGGGCACCACAATACCTTCGTTATCTGCCTCGGTTGCACCAGAGTGAGGACAGGTTTGTCGAAAAACCGGGTGTCCCACATAGTGATTTGATTGTCAACGTGTGACACCAGATGATGAGTGTGATAGGGGTTCACCGACACATTGTAAACAGCCTTCGTAGGAGTGACGCTGGTGACTTTGGCGGAATCTGGTGAGAAGAGAATCCAAGATCAGACGATATGGCTGATTATACAGTTCGTTAGCGAGCGTACCTCTGAAGTCGAGAGTCTTCAGCTGTTTGTTATTAGCGCCGAGAACTAGGCACTTCGGATCGTGTTTGAACCAAGCGGCGGAATGTATGGTTTCCGACACACCCAATTCTGCTATCGGTCTGATGCAATCCATTTGATTGCCGCCATGATGATGCATTCGTTCCGAGCACTGCGGGCTTTTATCTATATCCCACAACAGCACAGAATGATCTTTACTGTGTTTGTCCAAGCCGGATAAGACGAGGTGTTTGTCCACGGGATTCCACGCAACCACGTTACACGGCCTCGCGTGTTTCGGCACTAGAATTTCACCCAAGATTGTACATTGTATGATATAACATGGAGAAATGGTCTTCTCGAAACCAAATTATCATGTAACATCCGGATTTACCAAATTCCCTTCCGGTAAAACCCAGGGAATCGTACGCCGTAGGGCCGAAGGTGCTCAGAATCACCTTTCCGTTTGCTTGACCAATCGCTAACAAGATATCAGGATCTTGTTCGGGATATATATCGATACACTTGACATAGTGATTGCTGGTATTGGTAGCGAGGAGATGAGCGACAGAGTGATCCGAGATCTTTAGACCTGCGAAGAAAAAGAGAACATATATAAAAACATGTTGCAAAGCATGTTCGTTGAGAGGCGAGTTTTAAATTATAAAGCGAGAGAAGAGAGTTATATTTAATTCACTGTGTGCTCACAAGATTGCTCAAAGTTATCTTCCAGAGGTACGACTTCGTACAGATTGATCTCGGTGCCCCATGTGATGAATTTGTTCTGATGAACGGGGGACCATTGCACATCCAATTTAATGCTACCCATTTTTTCCCCTTTACGACACTTCTACCGTGAAAATGCGAGTCATCGTGTCTCAGAGTGACGAATCGATTTAATTTTCATACCGTCGTACAGTTAAATCCTCAGTGTGTTCACTTCGATCGCTGGAAGATGCACAGTGTGTGTGTGTGTGACATAAACATGCGGCGTTATATATTTCGTCTCTTCTTTTCTTACGATCATCTGCTTCTTCGTCCCTTCTTTCCTTATAAACATCTGCCGCTTCTTCTCCCTCGTTTCCTCCGATCTTCTATGCCAGTTCCCACGACAACTTTCAGGAATTTTTATAATTGATAATATTTTGATCGTATCGCATCAGAGGACTGAATCTATCAATACTGAGTGCACCCAACATAACCTGACGCTTCAATAGGATCCGAGAAAGAAGCACGCAACTTCAAGTGGGTAGTTCGAGTTTGTTCCGCGAGGAGCGCGTCTCGCGCGCAAAAAGCAGTTTCTTTCTTTATGCACCAGGTGCGTAATCACTGCGTCTGTGGTTGGAGAATACTTCGAGATCCTTGGATATTGATGGATCTGGAAGAATACACCAATCAGAAGTAGCGACCATTACGATTCCCGCGCACAGAACGCGGAAACGCGAAGGTCGATTGTGTATATTTCAAAGGTGAAGTAAAAATTATTGGTTTATAACTTGAAACCTGTCCTCTAGCGATAAATAAATGTAGCTTTGACAATCGTCGATTGTAATGGCTGAACAAGGCATCATTTTTAGTTTCGACATCTGCCAATAATATTCAGTATATAAGAGTTTGTGTTTGTGACAACAACGTAGTTTTTTACTGCGAGGAAAATGTCTGGATTTCAACCAAATAAGCATCATTTGCGCGAAGCTTTGCTTTTCTGTTTCAATTTGAAGAAAACTGCTGTCGAATCTCATCGAATGCTTGTTGAAGCTTATAGGGAACTCAACCTGTCTGAGACAACTTGCAAGGAATGGTTTCGACGATTCAAATTTGGTGATTTTGACACGAATGATAAGGAACGTCCAGGCCAGCAAAAAAATTCGAAGATACAGAACTGCAAGCATTGGTGAATGAAGATCCACGTCAAACACAAAATCAACTTGCAGAAACGTTGAATGTTACTCAAGCAGCCGTTTCCAAGTGTTTAAAAGCCATGGGAAAGGTGTGCAAGGAAGGAAGATGGGTGTGTCACATGAACTGAAAGAAAGAGACATCGAAAGGCGAAAAACCACCTGCGAAATTTTACTTGCCAAGCAACGAAGAAAGGGGTTTTTGCTTTATATCATTACTGGGGAAAGCGTCGAAAAATGGGTCTCTGACTGGACGGCCTCTAAAGATGAGTCGTTTTCTCGCCGTGGGATACGTTTGTCGCCAGAAAGATGGGAGAAAGTCATATCTAACGATGGCCAATACTTGGATTGATGTATTCTTCTTCTTTTATTTCTTAAATAAAAACTTAATTTTTGCAAAGAAAAGACGGATTTCAAATTATAGACCTAATGCAAAAGTCGGTAATCCACTTCAGGTGTTGACCAGTAAAATGATAAATATTCTAATAAATTCGCTCACCTGTTTTGCAATCTTCACGTCGTTTTGAGACACGCAATCGGGACCCCCGCGTGATTTTTGAATGAATGTCAAGCGTCAGCATGAAAATGTGCCCTTAGACATCAGCCGATGACTCCGATATTTTCACCGGTCATCACTATCCGCACGGGCTGCGTTCCAAAGTCCTACTCGATAATTATAGTAACATCAATTAACCAAACATAACAAAAAAAAACAAACTCTGCTCTCTCCGTTCTGATTGGCCAATTGAACGCTGCTTTATTCGTCGAACAGAATAGTTGGAACTCGACTCGCCATGCAATGTGCGCAAAATAGTTTACAACGGGAAAGCGATTCGCCGAAGGCATCTCTATGAATATCCGCGAATATTCGTGTAAATTCGACGAACATTATTGTGATTTATCGTCCGACAAGTATCTCTTTGTACTTAGCCGTTCGAACTGGCCGAACACACGACCACCGAGGTCAAAACAACGTCCACTATCGAGATAGGATAACGAGCGGCCGATATGGACGGGAAAATAATCGCGAGGATAATTCGGCGTAATTAATCGCCGGTGATTTTCCGAGCGAGCAGAACGATGGTGACGAGCAGAGGAATCTCGGTAGTAGCGGCACTCGGCGACTTCCGCTTCCGTGGTTCGTCAATATCGTCGCCATCATAGCGACGGGGACACGGGACCGTGACCGTCGTCAGGCTTATCCTCCAGGAATCGTCGTCGTCGGCGACGGAAGCGGGAGACCGACTGCTCCCCCGAGAGAAGCGAGCGTTCCGCTCCGCCGCTATTCGCGTACCTCCGTGCACACCGCATCGGCCTGTCGATCAGTCGACGCACATCGGAGCACGTATTTTTTTACTACTTTGGTACTAAACGAAACATGGCTTATTGAAGAAGATGAAGGGCCTGCAAAAAGATATCGTTTCTCCAAACGGAGGAGACCGCAGCATCGACGAGGCGAGTTACCACCAGACCGAATTGCACGGTCGTCGCGCAGATGGACATAAAGAACAAATTTCCGCCGTCCCCGCCCAAGGGGGCCGGTGCTGATGCCAAGAAGAATCAAGGTGTGTGTGAGTCCGCACGCCGTGTCCGGCCTCACTTCTCCGTAGGCAGGTTCCACTCAGTGCTCCCGACTCTCGCGAGCATCGTTCCGTCTTTGTTTGACGTTCAAGAGAAGGGAGGATGAAATGATGCTCGCGATCGTCGCGAGCGTTAAGTGGAACGCACTCTGTGCAATCCTCACGTTGCGTTTCTTTCAGATGTCGTTAATACCAAGGTATATCCGCAGAGGAGGCGCAGGAGAGAAGTTACTGGCGCCGGTAACTTCTCTAAGAATGAACAACCAAGGAAGTGGAACGTACAAAAAGCAAAAGATACTGTTAAGAGACCGAGAGCTAAAGGACAATATCATGGCGGTACAGAGGAGAATACCAAGGTCTGCTTAGCGAATACGCGACGAATCTGTCTCGACATCTTCGTCGAATATTGAATTTACATTCTTACGTGCGTGTGTACAGGTAGTGGCGGCAAAATGGGCTGAGCCTGGCTCAGTGTTGGTTCATGGATGTAAAAAGGAGAATTACCTGCTGAACGGCAATCATCTGCTGAATTTTCACTATGAGCCGAGGAACGCTCAGAACAGGAACGTGGGCAAGTCGACGGGGAACAATCGCAACAGTAACAGATGGCTTCCACCGATACAGCGGCATAAATACAACAAGGAGCAGTTTCTACAAGCCAGGTAGCCGCCGCTGCGAGCTAAATATCAATCCGAATGTCGAGATGACACCGCTAATTAGTACAAATAACGGTCGATACCGGAGCGACGATCAAACTTCGCACATTTGAACGTACAATCGTGTAATTTCTTTCTCCTCGACAGCTGCCAATTCGTTGTGATCGCGGGCGGAGATTATTCTCTGTACTGGACCAATCCGGACGTCCTCGTTGATTGGAAGTTGGTCGAGCAAATTGTGAGTTCTCGCCTCGCAAACTCGTTAATTCGTCGTCGTCGCGCGAAACGTCGCGTGTGAGGATACCGGGTGGAATCCGATATTTTCTCTTAACTCCCGAATTACTCCGCTTTGCAGAAAGTTCACAGCTCGGAAAACCTGTCCTGCCCTATCTGCCTGTGTCCACCGGTCGCGGGCAAAATGACACGTTGCGGCCACGTTTACTGTTGGCCCTGTATTCTCCATTACATAGATGTCTCCGACAAGAAAGACGCTTCGTGCAAATGTCCGATTTGTTACGCCACCGTTCACAAGGATGATTTGAAAAGGTACGGAAGTGCGCGCGATGAGAGATACTTTCGAGAAGAAACTCCCGGCTTCAAGCTCGTGTCTTTCAGCATGGTCGAGATCACGCAGACTACGTTCAACTTAGGCGACACGCTTAATCTACGCTTGATGCGCCGCGAGAGAGGCTCGGTGCTCGCGACGCCCGTGGAATCAGCGGCGCATCCGACACCACCGGCGGCTACGTTTTTACCCGTCTCGGCAAATTCCGATAATCAAATCTATTCGAAGCTCCTTATCGCGAGCGTGCAGGACGTAAGTTGATCGAGAAACTCGCGATCTGCGAGTGCGAGAACGAGATACGATAACGCGGATCTAACGAATTGTCCTCAGATCGTAAACATCATAGAATTAGAGCGCGTTCAATTGGAACTCGAGTACGAGGATTACCCGGATTGTTACATCGAGCGAGCTCTCAATGAGCTGTCGCGAAGAGAAAACCAACTACTGTCGAAGGTAACTTAACGCATCTTTCGTACAATTATTTATCAGTGTGACGCCGAATAATGAGAGAAATGTGCGCTGCATAAGGCATCGGGAGACGCTTTATCCACGGAAGATATTACCGAGAAAACGATCGCTGAGCAAACGTCGCGCGAGAACGAAGTAAATACTGATGCATGTTGCAAGAACGATACCAAATTTTTGGAGACTGTTCAAGCGGAGCAGTCCTCAAAAATTGTGGACAGTGCTTCCAACGATGGCCAGTGTGCTTCAGGTCCTTCCAGATTTGTTTATTTTTATCAAGGTAAATAATCAGCCTGAAGAGTATAGCGATATATATATATATATATATATATCGTATATTACACGAGCGTAGTGCGCCGAATGTAGATTTCGGCGAGCGAGACCGTGCTGATGATCGAATTGACTTTCAGCCGACGACGGCCAACACTTGTATCTCCACGCGATGAACGTGAAAATGTTGGAAATGCAGTACGGCGGTCTCGAACATTGTCCGCCCGTGATAACGGGCAAGCTTCTCGAGAAGGAAGCTGGCAGCTATACGGAAGATTTAAAACGAAGGCTGCGATACCTCTGCCACCTGCCGCTCACTTGCCAGTTCGAATTAGCGGAGATCGAGCTGAGACCGCCGCTCGTGTCGGACCAGGTTCTTCGCGCTTTTCGCGGTAAGATCATCCTGAGACGGCTACTCCCGCGGGGACGGTGTTAGATTCGTATCCTTTCACCGACAGATCAACTGAATCTGAGGAAGGAACGCAGACAACGCAGGGAGCGAGAGGAGAAGAAGCGCGATAAGAAGATAACGGAAGAGCAGAACAAACGAATGGGCAAGTACCCGACGCCCGACATTAACATCGAATCGAATCGACACTTTCCACAATGGAATCCGGAGCTATTGTTTTCCGAGTGAGCAGGCCGATTCTCCTTAATCACCTCGATATCGTTGATGCATCCCTTGTTTTTCACGCGAACGACGACATGGCTTGCGTTTCACAGGCAACGCGCGCTGTCATCCCCGGAACCGACGACCATGTCGAGCATCGCCAGCAGTCCGTCTTCGAGTACATTCGACGAAGTTGCTACGGGACAAGGGAACGCGTTTTTGGAGCATGAACAGCAGCAAGCACCGTCGTTTGCAGAGATGTTACGCAATACCAAGACCCCGGTGAGATCATCCAACGTTTGGCCATCCGTTGCTTCATCGGGACAATCAACAACAACGCGCTCCGGTACAGCGGGCGCGTTATCCAAAGAGGACGAAGACGCGGAAGAAGCGTACTACGCTTCTCCACCGTCGAACAATCAGTGTCTCGGCGATGCACTTGCTCGTGCATTGGAACAAACCAGATTGGAAGATTCAGGTATTGCGATCACTCGTCTATATGTAGCGTAGTCTACAATGGGCGGTGGGAGTACGTTAATGAGAGGTAAGAATAAGAGATTGACCGATCATAGTCGAGTGTGAGGAGAATAATCGACTGTGATTGGTTAATTTCCCTCTCTTGCTTATAAACATACTCCTACTGCCCGCTGTTGACCACGTTTAAATGCTTTCCACCTCCAGCTAGGATATTTTAAGTTGGCAGCATGGTATGTATATTTGTTTGCATTAGGACTGCCAATTTTGAAAGGAATTGATACGTGAAATTCGACAGTAATAGCGCGTATAAACGCACTCGCCGGGTGTCCGACTTAAAACACCCTAACCGGAAGTGGAAGGCATATTATTGGGTGTGTGCATATACATACATCGCTGAATTTCGTACAGTATATACTATATATATAAGCACTAATTCGGGTAATTGATTGCAGGAGAAGGAAGTAACGCAGCTGGCAAGAAAAATAAAAAGCAGAAGAAGAAGAAGACCAAGGGGACTGTATTGTTTGCAACCGGTATGACGTGTGCATCTTAATTATGATTACTTGATTATATGATTAAAACATGCTTTTACACTATTATTATTTGCGCGATATGCGTGATGTCAAAGGCCCCTCATTGATCGGCAGACATATCGAGTTACGTTTTTATGAGCTACGTGTGAATCCTTAGAATGCAAAACGAGGTAAATTTCGTAATATTTCATCACTCGGAAATGTTATTTTGCGTTAATATATGAATCACAATGTGTCATTCAACACGTGTCATTTTATATATTCATTTCGACAAAGACGGATCTTATAATAATCAGTGGGAATTTATGAACAAATTGGTTCACAAGAAAAAGAGAATATTGGAAACTTTATCGGTCTTTGTCGTCGAACACGAATGGCATTGCGCGAACAAAAAACCGATTTGCATTGAAGTATCGGAAGATTTATCTCGATTTTTTTACTTCTATCATTGTCTTATATATGTCTGTAATAATTGATGAGGAACCTACCTTGGTAGAACTACTTCCATTGGGTCACTTGTAGAAAGATTTTATTTATAATTTGCGATCTTTAACGTAACAAATATACGTATGTAAAAATAGCACCATACAGAAATTTATTATACTTTATTTGCCACGAAATACTGGCCTATATGTATGAATAAAGTTTCATTTCATTTATACCAGTGTTGTTACTCGGGTTAGTCGTCGAGAAAACAGATCATCATATACTACATGCATCTACAAATCTTGCAAAAGATCAAAGAATTTCATTTCATCGATACTAAGAAATTCAGTTACTCGCAGTATCCCTCATTTATTAGTTTTACCGTTGAAAGGATTCAGTTACCGAAATTACCGAATTTTTCACGCTTAATCTATGAATAACATAGGATGTAACAGAGGAGCGAAACGGGAGAGTTAAAATAATGCGCAAGTATTTGATCGTACGAATTATTTAATTCTTTAAATCGTGAGATTGAGACAAACAAACAAGGAATTTTAATTCCACACTCAGTGGATTTCGACACATTTGACGATAGCTAGAAATATTTCAATCGCAATATCAGAAACCGGGAGGAGCATCTCATTAGTAAGATCAAAAGTTAAGCCTCGCCGTGAAAAAATCGAAAATAATCAATTTAAAAACTAACAAATCGGATATTACGAAAGAAAGAAAGATTCGATTGAAACGCTCCCGACGTTCATAAATAATATTACAAACTGCGATGTCGACGTTGTTATTCACCGACCATCGGCCAATATATAACATTGACAATAGTCGGTCGTTGTATATGTATAAGTGCTAACTAGCCTACGTATTTATTACAGAAGTAGCAGAGAAACACGATGTTCGATCTTGGAAATCCTTCTGTATTTGCGAAGTCTGGAACATAGAAGATCAAATAACGGATCCGTCGCGGAGTAGATATCACATACTAAGTACAGCACGCGTGGCGACGCAAATAAATAAGTAGAATGTAAAATGCGTAATACGTTTACTCATCCTGAGAGTATTAAAAAAGGAAAAAAAATGATAAAAAAAAAAAGAGAGAGAGAGAAAGGAACTCTCGTGAAAATCAATTGCCGAATGCGCTGATGCGAGAGGAAAACGGAATGATCGCAGGAAAGACCGCCGGTTTGCACGTAAACGGGCTCTATGTTCGTTCATTCGTGTTTATTGCTTCATGTTACTTCCAAATCGAAGGAATGCGTAGCGATTGCAGAACGGTGACGGTGACGGTAGGGTAGAGAGAAGTTGGTTCGGTGGCGATGAATGGGCAGTGAACGCGAATCGAAGCCGGACGTCTCGATTTAATCGACTTCTTCGATGGTGGGTCCGGAGGCGCCGCCGCCGCTGGGAGCTCCGCCGGGTGCGGCACCGCCGGCTCCGGGGAAGCCGCCCGGCATGCCACCGGGCATACCGCCCGCACCCTGATAGAGCTTCGTGACGATCGGGTTGCAGATGGCCTCGAGCTCTTTCTGCTTGTGCTCGTACTCCTCCTTGTCGGCCAGCTGATTGGCGTCCAGCCACTTGATGATGTCGTTGCACTTGTCCAGGATGGTCTGCTTGTCGGTGGCGCTGATCTTGTCCTTGAGCTTCTCGTCCTCGACGGTGCTCTTCATGTTGAAGCAGTAAGACTCGAGGCCGTTCTTGGCGGCGATCGTCTCCTTCTGCTTCTCGTCCTCGCTGCGATACTTCTCAGCCTCGTTCACCATCCTCTCGATGTCCTCCTTGCTGAGCCGGCCCTTGTCGTTGGTGATGGTGATCTTGTTCTCCTTGCCGGTGGACTTGTCCACCGCGGACACGTTGAGGATACCGTTCGCGTCGATGTCGAAGGTGACCTCGATCTGCGGGACTCCGCGGGGCGCCGGCGGGATGCCGCTCAGCTCGAACTTGCCGAGCAGGTTGTTGTCCTTGGTCATGGCGCGCTCGCCCTCGTAGACCTGGATCAACACGCCGGGCTGATTGTCGGCGTAAGTGGTGAAGGTTTGCGTCTGCTTCGTCGGGATGGTGGTGTTCCTCTTGATGAGTGCGGTCATGACACCGCCCGCAGTCTCGATGCCCAGGGAGAGCGGCGTGACGTCGAGGAGGAGCAAGTCCTGCACTTCCTCGGACTTGTCGCCGTGCAAAATGGCGGCCTGCACGGCCGCGCCGTACGCCACGGCCTCGTCCGGATTGATGGACTTGTTCAGCTCCTTGCCGTTGAAGAAGTCCTGCAGGAGCTTCTGGATCTTCGGGATACGCGTGCTGCCACCCACCAGGACGATGTCGTGGATCTGGGACTTGTCCATCTTCGCGTCGCGCAGCGACTTCTCCACGGGCTCGAGGGTGCCGCGGAAGAGGTCCGCGCAGAGCTCCTCGAAGCGCGCCCGGGTGATGGAGGTGTAGAAGTCGATCCCTTCGTAGAGCGAGTCGATCTCGATGCTGGCCTGCGTCGAAGAGGAGAGGGTGCGCTTCGCGCGCTCGCACGCCGTCCGCAGACGGCGCAGGGCGCGCTTGTTGCTGGTCAGGTCCTTCTTGTACTTGCGCTTGAACTCCTGCACGAAATGATTGACCATACGGTTGTCGAAGTCCTCGCCACCCAGGTGGGTGTCGCCGGCCGTGGACTTGACCTCGAAGATGCCATCTTCGATCGTCAGGATGGACACGTCGAAGGTGCCACCGCCGAGATCGAAGATCAGGACGTTCCGCTCGCCGGTCGCCTTCTTGTCCAAACCGTAAGCGATCGCGGCGGCGGTGGGCTCGTTAATGATACGCAACACGTTCAAGCCCGAGATGGTACCAGCGTCCTTGGTTGCCTGACGTTGCGAGTCGTTGAAGTAAGCGGGGACGGTGATCACAGCGTTGGTGACGGTCTTGCCTAGATACGCCTCGGCGGTCTCCTTCATCTTCACCAGGACCATCGAACTCACCTCTTCGGGGAAGAAAGTCTTTGTCTCTCCTTTGTATTGTACTTGAATCTTTGGTTTGCCACCGTCGTTCACGACGGTGAATGGCCAGTGTTTCATGTCGGCCTGGACAGTTGGGTCCTCAAAGCGACGACCGATCAGCCTCTTGGCATCTGGAAACGTTCAAATGGAGTCGTCAGTAACGCACGGGAAGATTCTTCATGGTATTTTTGTCAAAATGTGTTGGGACACGGTGATAATATCCGAATGCTATTTTTATCTATCATGCTTGCTCCATGAATCGTTTATATCATGTTGATAAGTCTCGTGTTTGAGAGAAGAAAAATGTCAAGTCAAATGAGTCGAAAAATTCGTAATCGTTGAAATTCGACGGTAATGGTAGTGATTTCATAAGTAAACGGGCTTCTTTTTCGGTAAACACGAAAAATTGGGGCAGGTGATCTTTCCGAGTCAGGAGTCGCTTCTTCGTGTTCATTGCGTTATTCTTCACTTCAACAGCGTTTAATCGATGGAGGATGCCCGTATACGTGGCCATAAAGGCGAAAAGCTACATGCACGCGCGGAAGAAGCAGGAACTTCTATATGCTAACACTATCGCGACGATCGGTGACGTAAAATCTTCGGGAAGACCTGATAAGTCAATCACGTGACGGAATGAGATTTAATCGGATCCGACACGACTCGAGAGAGCGATAAAAGCTGCGCCACGTTCGGGGGAGCGCGCTATTAACGCCGACGAGTCGGTTCTATTCTCGTCGTGCGTCTGTCGTGTGACGAGGGGGGACGAAACGAGCCGTTAAGGCTGACAGCATCGCGGTATCCCCGTACGAGTGGTCGAGAAAAGAGAACGGGGCACTCACCGAAAATGGTGTTGTTGGGGTTCATGGCGACTTGGTTTTTGGCGGCGTCTCCGATGAGACGCTCGGTCTCCGTGAAGGCCACATAGCTGGGCGTCGTGCGATTTCCCTGGTCGTTGGCGATGATCTCGACCTTGCCGTGCTGGAAGACGCCGACGCAGGAGTAGGTCGTGCCAAGATCGATACCGACTGCGGGTGCTTTCGCCATTGTTTCCGGTTTCTGCAACAAGGGGAGTACTTTGGTCAGACAGGCAGAGCGGAGAGACGAGGCACGATATCTCTCTCTTTCGGGGAGACAACGGAAGCTCGAGGACCGCGTCGACGTCACTTACTTTTTTCTTATCGCAATCTGCCTGAGAAAGCGCGAGGGGGCTTCGCCTCGTGAAAGTTTCAGTCCGAGCAGGACAGCGAAGAAGTTCTCCGTACCACGATTCGCAACGTGAGTGACGAGTCGCGCCCCTGCCACCGGTATATATAAAGTCCGTGGGGCTTCTGGAAAGTTCCTTCCGCACGGGGGAGCCGGCCGCGGCCAATCGCGGCGGCGCTTCCGCCGGCGCCGGCGGCCGATTCGTCGGGAAACCTCCGCGCTCGGTCCCACCGCGCGGGTCAGCCGAGCGTCAATTCGCGCGCGCGCCTTTATCGATCACGCGTCCGTTCCGACGCGTCCCCGACGACGACGTTCTCTCCTCCAGCTCGGTCTTCGATGAATAATTTCGCCTTCCCGGCGATGAAATTCGTCCTCGCCCGACGACGGGGTCGATCGACCGGCTGATCGCGCCTGCGATCGCTTCCGGTCGGAGAATAACGGACGATCGACGGCGGAGGGCGGAGGGAGAGAGAGAGGGAGAGGGAAAAAGAAACGGGGAAAGATGGAGAAAGATCGCGAGCCTAATTCTAGAAACGTCCGTCGCCACGCGCGCGCGCTCGCACGCGCACACACGCACGGCGTTTACGTAGGCGCGGCAAAAAGCGCGGTATGACACACGGCTCAAGGTCCCGCTGGAATTCGCGTATGCGGCCGTATGACGTCAGCAAATTGATCGCTCGAAGAAGAAACGACGCGAAGGAATCGACCGCTCGTTTTCCGGGAGAGAGAGAGAGAGAGGGACCGGCCTCGCGCCATGGGCTGCCGTCGTGATCAACGAGGGATCCTCGTTATCGAGGACCGTCGTTCAGGTAACGGCGATAACGAAGACAAAAGCGGAACGCTTTGATTATGAGCGCGGTAATTGCACATCCGTCTCGCTCTCGGGTTGTCGCAAGCGGAAAATTTTCGTCGCGTGCACGCCCGAGATTCGATCGACCCGCCGCGCGGTCTCCGCACGGGGCGAATGGGAGAGGGGGAGGAGGTGGTTCCGGAGATCGTTTCGGCTCGCACGATTGCCGTCGTGCGTTCGTTCCTCGTCACGAACGCTTGCGAAAATCATCGACGCGCACGTGTCTCTCTTGCGCAACACGATGATTCTGGCTCGATCGATGATTTGCAGATCTCTCGAATTCGTCCGCGAATCGTCGAAGTGCGCGTAAGAGAGCGGCCTCTCCGCCCGCCGCCCCGGTTCCACGATGTTTCTAGTGTTTTCTACCTGTTTCGGCGCATAGCAACACGTCCTTCCCCGCGTTTAAGGAGGACGTAAGCCTCGCAGTGTCGTAGTTTTAGTGGCGCGTCGGTGGATCCGACTCATAAATTTAGCATTCTACGCGAGCAAAATTAGTTTTCGCTCCTTTATTTTGTTCATTCTCTTCCCGTACTTTTATCTCAGTCTACAAATAGTAATTGTTAATTTGAAAGTTAAGGTAAACATACGCGCAGTATTACAAATGCGAAAATGTTATTTTCTATTTTTCTCACGATTGTTATATAAATATAGCACCTAATCCGGTCGATCTGATAGAAATGCATAGATAATGGAAAGAAATATATAAATGTTTAAATATGTGTATATGTATTTCAAGTATTATAAATTATGAACTTGACACCGATGCATTTTTTAAACAAAATGACAAAATGACAACATTTTTTAAATATATATATATAATGTCTGCATATTGGTCTCTAATATAATAGTAGTTTTCATCACATTCTTATTTTTAGTTTAGAAAATATATTAAAAGTAAGTTAAAAGTAACATGCAAAATAAGTTAAAAATAATACAAAAAAAATATTAAAAATAACATTAAAAATATAAGTTAAAAATAATTTCCAGGAATACGTGTAAAATGTGTGAACTTTAGCTTCAAATATCTTAGATCTTGAACTGTTAATCTTTTTCGAATTGCACGAGTGGTTAGATATTTCAATGTATATATAGTGCGTCATTGAATTCCTATCACATTCATTTCACCTTACAATCTCCTTAAGGCAGTGCTTGGAATCTGTCCATTTCAGTCCGATTTCTAAGGTTTATTATTCTACCACCGCTCCTGGCTTAACGGCTGATTTGTGCTAGGTTTGTGCTACATTGTGCTCGAATTATAAACCTGTAATACGAAAAATGCATGAAAAAAGTGAAAAAAATTATTTTCTTTAGCTCCCCCTTATCGATTCTTACAATGTTTTCAATTGTGCTAAAGTAGTATCGTTGAAGAATAATAATGGAAGAAATAAAAAGAAGAAAACAGTTTTGGGGAAGTAGAACAAAATTAACGTTTACATTCATATTAATTAACCAAACGGTATATAGTTGCACATCTGAGTTGTATTAACATAAGTTTGGTTATCGACGGCATCAATGAATGTAAATATTAATTCCGTTCTGCTTTACCTAAAACTGTTTTTGGTTTTATTTCTTTTATTATTATTTCTCGAAGGTACTACTTTAGTGCAATTAGAAAAATTGCAAAAATTGAAAAGGGGGAGGCTGACAAAAAAAGGTTCTCACTCATTTCTCATGTTACAGATTTATAATTCGAACGCAATGCAGCATATATCCAGCACGAGTCAGCGCAACCGTTAAAATAAATTAACTCGATAAGTGAAGTCTCGAGCCTTCGTTCAAGCAGTTACATGAAGAAATGGTAATATTTTTATTTTATCATCGTTTATCACCCAACATATAATAGTACGTCCTTATATTTAAGGAAAGAGATAGATCAGCTTGAAAAAGATGTTTACATCTTGATCTTCCCATCGTTTGTCACATTACTCACACAGATAGCACAGAAAATGACGATGGCATCAAAGTGATGTCAAAATGATGACTAAACAGTCGAAAAGTGAGTTATCGTCATTATTTCTCGTCATTCGAACTTTGACGACATTATCGTGATTTTCTATTCTATCCGGATAATAAACACGAAGCAGACCCGCGAATAAAAAGAGCAACAATGCCGGTAAGCAAGAAACATCAAATCAATCTTTCAAAAGACTGACTTTACGTGGTATTTTATAAACATTTCGATATAATATTTTATAAAAATTCCTAAACTGTTACTTGATGATATTATATTTTTAAATATTAAAATTATGACGCGGGAACATTATTTTTAATGTTTCGGTCAAGTATCGCCAACAGGAACATTGTATACAACATTAAGAACTACTATATTTGAGAACGTTACAAAATATCATTATGATAACGTTGTGTTAACGATTTCTCGCTTACTGGACCGATATCTCACGCATCCATTCATCGGGAGACGGAACTGCCGCTTTAATACATATGGGCGTCTCTATTAACAATTTACATATTGATTAACCGACAATTTAGTGCACTCGAAGTAGTACGTGCGGTCACTCCGACCGGGCGTGCAGCGGGAACGCGTCCATTCGCGCATCACGAAAACGATCGATGCCGCGTCCGTGAGGTGGACATACACGTTGCGGAAGCGTCGCGAAATTACCATCTGAGTCATGCGTGCTTCTCCGTGCAAGCAGTGTGCACACGTGTGTACGAGCGATCGCAGGGACGTTTCGCACGCGACATGAAATGCGATGCCACGTGCTACCTCCGTTTTGCGCTTATCGTTACTACGTAAAAAGTATGCAGAGAAGAAAATGCAACTCATGCACACACAGTCCGTACAACGGCGGACTCGGTCACGCCAGACAAACAGTTTCTCGAAGGCTTTGGAATATCGCTGCGAAATGATAGTTTCCTGTCAGGGGCGTAGCTAGCGGCCGGACGGGGCACGCGGCCTTACTGATAAACGGAATGTCCCTATAAGCGCGTAATGTTATTTCATATTAAGTAATATTTTGAGTATATTCTTAGAATACTAGACGTAATATTCTAATAATATTCTAGTAATATTATTGTGATATTATATATTTTTTAAATATTCAATTCTATGTATGTATACACAATAGTATACACAATGTATACACAATAGATATATTTTTTTTATTCATATATATTTTTCTATATTATTATTATTTTATTCTTTTTTCAATATTTTAAGAACATTTTTATAATATGCCAAGAATATTACGTGGACATCGATAGAACGTTCCTATAGTATTAACAAATATTACATAACATTCTTAGAATAGGAATATTGAAATTTTTAATATTGAATAATATTTGTATAATATTCCAGGAATATTATGCGCTTATAGGGATCAAGCTGCGAGATGCGCATCGCGATCGAAGAATGCGCGATGCGTATCTGCGCGAGTATGTGCACGCGTATATCGGTGGTATCGTCGTCGGGGCGGTTACCGGGCTAATATGTAACGACGATACGCGTATATCTCGTCGTTGACGCCTTTGCAAAGTGTCGAGCAGTCGCAATGACAAGTTCAAGGGATACCGCGGCTTCGGATTATCCGGAGTAAAAAGTAAAAATCGTTGATGAACCTGCCGTAATTGTGTAATTATCACGAGCAATTCAAGACTCGCGATACCGAGTCGAATACGATGACGAGGGACACACCGGGCATCATTGCGGATCACTGGTGATTTTCCATGCGCGTTCTCGACGTCAACGTGTCACGTGTATCGATTGCTTCAATCAAGGCTTAGAAAGTATCACTCGTGATAATCACAGTAATATCGGGCTGATGCAAATATTCGACTCCTTTTTTTTTTTTATCAAGATGTAACGTTTATTTATGTAGAAATGCAGTCGATTAAGTAGACGCCGTTGTTTTCGATGACCTGCCATCCCTCCGGTAGTCGCATGATCCCGCGTTCGTCGAAATTTCGAGAATTTTCGAAATGATGAAAAAAAAAACGGGACAAAACTCAGACAATACAAGCTGTTAAAGTTGTAAAGCACAGCATTGTATTGTACAGTGGCGCATCAAAGGCGCCATTCAAACTATGAACTGTACACCGCTGTGTTTTCAAAACAAGATAATTCTGAAATTTGTGTATAATGTCTGCATATTAGTCTTTGATATTACAATAGTTTTTCATCAAAATCTTATTTTTCATTTGGAAGATATTAAAAAGAGAATGTAAAAATAGCACGCTAATCTCAAGGAACACGTGTTAAAAAGCGTGAATTTTAGTCGTAAATATCCCAGCTTTCAAGCTGATCAACTTTCTTCTAATTGCACAAACAGATAGTATTTCAATGTGTACGTAGTAAGAGTTGAATTCTTACCAAACTCATTTTATCTTGCAACTTCCTTCTTAAGACACGTCATAAAGATAATGCAAAGAGATGTTTCAGTTTCTTTAAACGGCTTTCAGGAGCTTGTCCTGATAAATGCTGGAAATGACTATGTGCTTCGGCGATAACTGGGAACTGCCATTATATTCTCCGGTTGCTAAATATTCGACGTTCTTTCTTTTTTCCAAGAAAGAACGCCAACATTGAGACGCAGGTATCATTTAAAGCAGGATCAGATAAAGAAGACGCGACGTGATGCGACGCAATAACAGCCGCAGCGTCGGCATTGGCTGGAAGGGAAGCTGCGATGCAACATTGTCTGCCGAATCGTCTCTCCCCTCGGGACATATTTGAACAAAGGAAAGCCCAGCTGGACGTTTCGGAGCACAAAAGAAACTTGCGTGTCCGGTGAACGGGGGAAAAAGTATTGCCGCGGTCTCGTCGCAGTTTCGTTAGCCGTCCGTTAATTTTAACCGTTGCGATATTCTCCTCGTGGTTTCCTCTCAAATTAGAGGAAGAAGGACGACGTAGGAAGAGGCTCTCTGGCCTCTTGTGAATCAAAACCGCGCGATTTTTATATAGTTCGAGGCTGCACGCGTTTTGCGAGGAAACGGGGAGAGAGACACGTTCTCTCTCTCTCTCTCTCTCTCTCGCTACGCGAAGTATTTTTGATTTTCATTGAAACTTCTGTCACTGAAAATAAACGAAAAGCCTCGGCCGAGTATAGCGCATCGGTATTAATAAGACCGTGGATTTATTTCGAACGATGAAATGAATCTGCACTGTTGTAAACAGTGACGAACGGACAATGACGAATTGCAGCGGTGGCAGCGATAGAATTTCCCGAGGGAGTCCAGATCAATGCGGCGTGTCTCACACCGTTTATCAATTCCACGACGAACTATGTCAGACTGTAAATTTGAACGTAAACATTGTTGTTGTGATTGATATTGCAATATTGATTTATTCATGATTATATCTGCCTGTAGTTCGAAGTTGATCTAAAGTCTATACGTTATTGTTGACAAATGATTTATGGACACCACAGAGGTTGCACCGATGGAAATATTATGCTGGAAATTTTATTGAAATTCTCTCTCAGTTGATCCCGTTACATTATTATTCCGTTAATCTACGTAGTTATCTGTTAAATTCAGTAAATTTCAACAATACACTCTAACTTTCCTTGTATTCGAGTATACTACAGTATATCATGAACTTGATGAACAGTGAAATGAAAGTTACTGAAAAATGATTGAAAAGTATAATAAATATTTCAAAATACATCATAATTTTCGTAATGAAATTCAACGTAATATTGTGAAATATATGATGAAAATTAAAGTTTTGAAGAGTAATAAAAAAATTTTTGAAATATTAGATGTCATAAAATTTATTGAATTGAACTGAAAACTGTGTGTATTAATAAAATGGGATCAATCGAGAAGGTATTTCAGCAAAATATTTCTGTCAGAGTGTCCGTACGTTATTTCATAATTGACACACTATTTGATACTTAATATTATATGTAGTATAGTAAACACACACACACACACACACACACGCACACAAGATTCCTTCTTTTTTTTGGGATGACGCTTGGTTTCACCTTTGGTTGCACGGGAAAAATAACTCGTTGGCGTACTGAATTTTTCATTGCCTGGGGACTCGACGAAAATTCAGTTCTAAGGATGGGAGACTCCTGTAGGAAATTTCCACTCAGTCAATTGCTCTCAGTTGTCTGAACCGAGTTTTAATGCAGCTGAATATTCGCGCTGACGTTCTCAGTCGCGCTACCCTGCTTAAAAAAGCCGATAGAAAGAAGATGGTGAAAATTGATTCAAAACTTGTAATATTTTATTTATTATAACTTATCGTTTCAATCAAACTCACATTTCTGCCAAGATAGAGATATTATCTTTCGTTTTTAATCATGTCTTGGTTTAAATGACTAAAACCTTATTCAAAGGTGTTTGTTTTTCTACTTTATATGTTAAGCTACCTAATCCAATTAAAAAATTACAACTCGATATCTACAGAGTGTCCCAAATCGTTCTCGATTCTCGTGGTGTGGAACGAACGGGTGAAACTGAGCAGAAGTCACATGCCATTTTGCAAAATTCGCAACAGTTAGTGAGGAATTAATTATCTTGTCTGAGTTGAACGGAAAGGAAAGGGCAGATCGGACACCAATTATTGTGACTTTTGCAAAATGGTACATGACTTTTCCGCTCAGTTTCATCTATTTTACCTGCACACCACAGGAACGGTTTGGGACACCCTGTGTATGAATCTATTTTAATTCCATCGGAGATCTTTCTGTTTCTTTTCTATTAATAATATGTTCAATAACACGTTAGAAATAAAATCGTTTCTCATCGTTTAAATGTACAATGTGAGATTTAAATTAAACAAAAAAAAGCGTTCGCGTTTCTCACTGATAAACAAGTAACTCGAGCGGTAGGCTGTATGTTTAAATAATATTGGGAAAGTAGGAGAATTTATATATATCAAATATATCAGATAATAAATCTGAAATTGAAGAATCAAAAACACGACTCAACTATATATATATATATATAATTCTATCAGATTCCTAAGCAGGATAACAGTATATCGTTTCTTATCACCGGATCTTCGTTTGATTCCTGTTCAGCGGCAAGAAACTTTTTTTTTTTTTCTTCCGCGTGGTTGCAGACGTCAGGGCAAGACTGCGTCGCGCGGGCATCTGCACATTCGGAGCAGATGTTTCCCCGACAGGCGGGTCGGGAAGTACGATAGAGACGACGCCGCCTGGCGGGTGTCACAAGAAATACCGAGCAAGCCGAACGGGCGGTCGGTAAAGCAGAGGGGCGTGCGGGGCTATCGCGGGCAGCAGCGGGCACATATGGCCACACAGCTGTGTATCAATATTTTCCAGTGGACGCGATAGCGTGCGGTGCCATGTGGATTCCGCTGACGTAAGGCTGTTGTGAGGCGAATGCGACGATCCGGTGCAGTCTTCGAGCGTGCCGTATCGCTGGAGCCGAGGGACGCGCCCGAGTTATGAGCACGTTGTCAGCCGCGACGACGAAACGGAACGACGGGACGCGAATGACACGCACGGCCGACTAAGAGATGCGCCCGCCAACGTGGAACCGGGACCTCCCGGCGATACTGCTGTCGCTTCTTCTCGCTTCCTTCGCCGCCGTGTCACACAGCCTGGAGGTGATATACGCGATAAACGCGGGCGGCGAGGCGCACACGGACAGCTTCGGCATACGCTACGCCAGGGACCCTCTCATGAGCAAGGTCGGCACCGCGTCCGACTACGGTAAACAATTGATCATAGGTCGTATCAGCAACGTGGACCAAATCCTGTACCAGACCGAGCGCTACCACCACAACACCTTCGGCTACGACATACCGATCAGTCAGGACGGCGACTACGTGATGATACTAAAGTTCTGCGAGGTCTACTTCAACTCTCCCAACATGAAGGTAATCGACTTCTCACGGGGACAGTCGGTGATGAAACCGAGCAACTTGCGATTTTCTACACACAGGTCTTCGATGTGGTGTTGAACGGCGATCATACGGTGGTTACCGACTTGGATATCTTTGAGAGAGTCGGCAGAGGTATCGCGCATGACGAATACGTCCCGTTCAGAGTGCAGGGTGGAAGGTTGATATACAATGATGAGGAGTCCGACATTCTGGCGGGGAAGATAAGAGTGGAGTTCATCAAGGTAGCTCGACAGCGAGACAGTTCGTAGTGGCGTGCAATCATGACCGATTCTCGTGGTTTCAGGGTTACAGGGACAATCCGAAGATTAACGCTATTGCTGTTGTGAAGGGAGCCTTGGGAGGTATGCGCTTCTCGGGTCTTCCTTCTAATAATTTGCCACGAGTAGATTCCGCAACTAAGATCCGAACGTTCTGTATATGAACATCTCATCTCTCTCTTTCTCTCTTTCTCTGTAGATATACCGCAGCTGGGGCCGATACCGCAGGATCCGGAAGAGTATCACAGCATGCAGGAAGACGAAGAGGAAACTACCGTGCGTAATCGACACACGAGTGGACCCAGAACACCTGATCCGTACTTGATAGACGACTCGTCTATGATGTTGCCTCTCTTCATAGCCGTCGGTGCTTTCATCCCTTTACTATTTTGCCTATGTAAATTATAGACATTTCAAACCACACACACACACACACACACACACACATACACACACACACACGCGCGCATAGAAATGCCTTGTACTTAACGGTAACTGTGTTCCCGAGCATTAGACACGCTCGATTCATGAGAGGATGTCTGAACGTGTAAATAGCTAATCGGTAATTTATGCTTCTTTACGGTTGCGTCGTGTCAGATCTTAGTTAAAGTATTTATTATTAATTTATAATTCTCTAGATATATGTATGAGGTGCCGCTGGCTTGCCGTACTTTCACTCATCCACTTCTCAGACGCTCCGAGCACTTTATTAGCGCTGTTCACTAGATCCATAAAGATTATCCGAAACGGATTTTACAGTCCAGTTTTACAATCGAGTTGAAATGAAACGAAGGATACAGAGCCTTTATACTTATTCATATCGTCGAGGCATGAAGAAGAATGTTAAGAACCATCGAAGATATATCTCTTGGTATTCTCGTTCGTTTTCCAAGATTGACGGGAAACTCGTGGAATTCGAGTTGCCCGATGTGAAGTGTTTCAGACTCTGCGATCTTAATTTCGATGACACACAGTCTTCGACTTTTCTTCGGCTTTTTGTTCGATCAATCTTTTCGTTTTCTAAAGGAAACCTCGACGAGTACCGAATGCTAAACGACCCGATGCTATTTTATAACGTTAAACTTGAAGTTTCGTACCACTTTCCAACTCGTCGACTCAACGTCCCGAGAAAGTTCGAGCTGAATGCGCGATAGGATTCGTCGTTTGATCGCAATTACGGTAGTTCCGGAGTCAGAAGGACCTATCTCGGTCACTGAAACATTAAGATCGGCGGTTCTGAGACAACTTGCATATGTATTCCCTTTAAGCGTACACCACCACCGTAGGTCCAGTTCAACTCACAGTTTAACTCACGAAACTTCCAAGGAGCGGTGTGTGGTCACTCGCGGTGATCGTGAGACATTTGCTTCGTTCTGTTTTGTACTTTTCAAATACCGTCTTTTTTTACAGTTCATTATATATATATATATATATATATATATATCGTGAAGCATTTCGTACACGTCTCCATATCGGCCCTCCAATCACGCGATCCGGACGATCCAAAGAGTTGAAACATGCCGACGGGGCGCGTATCGGATTATGCGATTTTAACAACACGAGCTCCCTAGCGTACAGAATCGTTGCCGAAATTCTCAGGATTATTAACCGGACGACAGTCACACTCGTACAGTCCATTACCAAAGCAACATCCATTTTTTGCACGTCGAAATAAAGAGAACTGTTACTGAAACAATTCTGCATTGTTATCCTGTTCTTTCTTTCTTTACTTTGCGCAAACCCGCCTTGCGTCGTCGCGCGCGCGTTACATAATTATTGCACGAGCATCGCGACGATGATAATGTTATCGTCGTTGCAAGTAATCTGCGGGACACGAAGGACACGGTTTTATCAATGGTGTTAAGTATTTTTTTTCACAAAGCGTGCAACACAATTTACTTATTTCACATTAGCCGTGTTTAAACTACTCTTCGCATAATAACCCGACGCGACTTGAGATTTCTTGAAAGTAAACGCAAGAACCTCAGCACCCTGTCTGGTGCGACGGAAACATTATGCTGGTAGATCGCCGATTCTTTCTCGTTGCAAGCGACTTCCCGGGGGGAAATGATTATATATGATTATATATAATTACATAAAATCATACATGAATTTTGCCCGTATACGTGTGGTTACACGGTATGATCGTATGTGTCTGTACGAAAGAAAAAAAAATTATGTTATGTCATTTAATTAAATGTCGATATCATATTCTGTTAGACGCACAAGTAGCACCAGAAGCATTCGTTTCGATTGTATTTGCATATAATTTGTAAACAACAGTCTTTTTTCGTTGTGAACACGTACGGGCAAGTTTCATATATGATCCTTTTTCTCCCCGAGTTGAATTACTAATCAACGACGAAAGGGGGCTGTAACTGATTATGCGTTTAAGATACTCGATGCTCATGGAAAGCGAGGAGGCAAAACGAAAGCCTCGGTGAAGTGCGATAGTGAAATTTCTTAATTTACAATTTCTACAAACAAGTCTCTTTGCAATTCGCATTTCTTCCTCCCTCCGGTGTAAGAGAGAAAAAAGGAGAGAAAGAGAGAGAGAGAGAGAGAGAGCCGTTGCGAGTCGAGCAGCCGAATGTCGGCGGCTATCGATCGTATGATTGTTCGCATACTCCGGGGGCAAGGGAGAAAGGTACAATAAATTCAATTGAGCGTCGCGCAACGTAAAGAATCGTAGGTTCTTAATGGGAATAAGCTCATTCATCCCGCATGAGAGACGGGACGTCACGTGACCGGCGTGGCGCGTCGCATCGTCGAAGTCTTTGATGTATGCTCATCACTGGCAATTAGCTGTCAATTCAAGGCTATACTTATGGTTTTGGAAGCCGGAGCTGGCGGGTGGACGGACGAACGGACGAGCGGATGGTCAAACAGACAGACAGACAGGCGGGTGAGCGGGCGGGTGGACGGCGACGACGACGATCTCGAGTGAACAATTTCTGCTCAGCTGGAGGGGAGCTTTTACTTCACAAGTCTTATCGTAATCAGCAATCGGCGCGATACGTCAGAAATTAAAAATGTAGATATTAACAGTAAGGTGTGACCAACGATACCGTACGTGTAGGCGTGTATCGTGGGTGCAAACAGACACGATCGATTGCGATAACTCCTAATCGGAGATCGATAATCCGATGGACTTTCGATGAAACGCGGTGAGAGAGCGATTTTTGACCCGCTGATAATATTGCAGAAAACAAGGTGTCTTCCTACTACGCGACCCGTGGAAAGTCTAAAGTCTGAAGTTTGCGGAGACGCTTTTCCCAAATATACTCCCCGGACAGCGGCGATTTCTGAAAAGATGTTTGCGGAAGAAAACTTCACCGACTGAATATTGTTTCTCTCGCGAAGTTTGCGCCTTATTAGTTGCGCGGTATTATATAAATTATTTCATGTTTCTGCACAGTGAAAGTACACGCGAAAATTTCGAAAAATCTAAAACGACATGAAAAGTTTGTAGGAACGTTTTCATCTATCTTGGTTGGATTTGTTTCATCAAATATGGTTCTGTACTCATTAGATTAGATATTAGAACAGAGTAGCGCACATTCATCGCATTAGCGTTTATACCGCAATTTACGTTTACATTTACGTGAGATTTCTATATTTGCGAGAAATATAAGAAAAGCGTATAGCGTGATCGTGCCAGTCTTTATATAATATTTTGAGGATCGCTTCTACGCTATCAACGCTCATAAAGTTCGTCGATATTTAGGCAGCCTCAACAAAAAAGACGTCTTATATTTGTCTTAGATATCTTTCACATACGTACAGTCTTTAAGACGTCTCTTAGAAATTTGCAACGTCTCGGTCATCATAATTGATAAAGGATGGTTTTCTTCGCACGTGCCGAGCCGAGCAGAAGTCAATCATTCCGACGTTTGGTCGAACGATCGACAGTTCAAAGAAAAAAGTAAGAGCAAAGAATTCTGAGTGACACCGTGTGTGACAAAGTGCCTCTTGTATCTTGGCATCGTGATTCACTCGTCATCCAACCATTGCGCAACCATGATGTAGCTTTTCCTTTTTTTGCCCGTAAATAGACGAGTGACCTTCCGAAGAATGAAAAAAATATTATTCATAACTGAGGTTCCCCAGTGTTATCGACGCTGCTTCGTTAAAGAATAAGTAATAGAGGCAAACTACTATTCATTATTCAAACGTTCTCGTCATCAGAAGCAAGAAAAGACATAACAAAATCCGATATTATTGTGGTATCAACGTAAGAGCATATTCATTATTCAAATATTCTTGTCGTCAGAAGCAAGAAAAAACATAACAAGACCCGATATTATCGTGGTATCAACGTAAGAGCGTATTCATTATTCAAATATTCTTGTCGTCAGAAGCAAGAAAAGACATAACAAGACCCGATATTATTGTGGTATCAACGTAAGAAATTCGATTATACGTTCGAATAAAAAGATGTACACATAAAATAATATTTGTGATCGATTCCGCACACTTCCTTACATGGATTTCATGTCAATTACACGTGGATGTTTTCATCGGATTTTGATATAGGTTTCCTCGCTTCTGATGTAATTAAACAAGAATGGCGAAGCGAGCAGTCGGGGGTCTTAATTGAGATACGTGTATTATCTGTCGTAAATACGTTCCAGACATCGTCTTCGATCTCGTCTTATCAAATGTAATTAGATAAAAAATACTCCTTTTACGATGTTCCTTAGTAGCATTAACTAATACATTGGTCAATGTTTAGCCAATGTAACGCCAATGAAGTATGCTACTAGGGTTGCAGAAGAATATTTTAGGATATCTGATTTACATATATGTCTCACATTGCGTACAACATACATAGACACATTTAAATTACCTTAAATAAATAAACCTATCGAATATTTCTACAGCCCGAGGGAAAGATTAGGAAGAAAAAAACGCAATATTTCTTTCTTCGAAGCGAATGTGGTAAAATTTTCTAAATAGTGCGAAATATTCCATGAAAAAAACAAATATATATATATATATATATATGTGTGTATGTGTGTGCAAAATATTGTAGAGATTTATATAATCAGAGAATGGAAAAGAATGTTCTAAGAAGAACATTCGTAAAGTTCCTTCACTACGCATATACATTAAGTTAACTAAAAAGAGTATACAATTCTGTATATACATATACACTATACAGTATGCATAGTCAGATCTTATATTTAAGATCGCCTTAAGGTGCATCTTCAGATGCAGTACAGATTGCACTTTGACATCTGCATATAACGCATCTGCATATACCTGAAAATAAACTTACGACGATCTTAAATATAAAGTCTGACCATGAATACTGGCCTATGACAAGCACTTAATTGGAAACTATTTATAATGTTAATCGAATATACTAAGAATATATAACAATGTTTCTATGAAGTTCAGTATATTCTATGAAAGAATAAATATTCGTAACAAATATATTTATAGAACATTTGTAGAATATTTCTGCGCTATCTCTCTCTCTCTCTCTCTCTCATTTACTCACTCAAGAGGAAGATTTAATATAATACTTGAAATATTTACGAAATGACACGGATATTTGAGGGGAAAATTCCATCATTGTTTTGAGCAGTGTGTGACAACCGGTAAGACTATCTTCTCGCGTTTATAATCGTCCCGCAAAACTGGTAGGCGGATAATAGATACATTCGATGTATCATCATCTATCATCCGCCTGCCGGCCGGCATCAATCTATAAGCGCAATTGAATGTTGCAGCGTACGTGCGATTTGCATCTTCGTGTGTAATCGAGGTAATATCGGCGCTGCGTTTCTCGAGCATTATTCAAATTGTAGCGGCCAGGTGAAATAATGAAATCAGGAACGAATTATCGCTTATCGCGCGATAAATCCGCTCATATGTGTTTTTAATTTTGACTCGGCGCAATAAACACGGTGCGACCTGGAAACAATCTAGTCGTAATATAAGATGCGGGTTATGCAAGCACATCGGGAAGATCGTCGATTGCACTTAGAGGAACACTTGACAAAACGCATCGGACTAACTGCTGAAACTTCAAGTTAGATTATTTTGTCTTGGCGGAAATTTTATCGAGCCGCTCTTGTAGACGAAACGCGGGGAATTAAAACGTCTTATTGCGATGATTCGTGAAATTGATCGTTTTTGATCGAGATACAAGCCGACCGTATCTCATTATTAACTTAACATACTCGAAAGAGATAATTAAATGTAGAATCTTGTGAAATCAATGTCGTCGCGCCGATTATTATCGGATTATTTCAACGAACGTCTCATCGCCATGTCGAAATGATTTCAGCATTAACGAAATAATAGTCGTGTATCATTGTAGGCCAATGTCACGTATTTTTCTTAGTCAGAAAGTTATTAGCTGTCTTCACAATACAAAAAACAGCTAGTAAGCGCTTTTTTGCTGAACGACATTTCCGCTGATCCAAACGTTTACCAAGCGGCTCGATGTAATAAACTTTCCACGTGCATCATAATATATTTACAATTTCTGACGTCATCAAATAAGGAAAGTCACAGTAAAAATACAGGAGCTTTAAGTTGCCCTTCCCGCCGAACACAGCCAATACTTTTTAATAATTCATATTGAAAGAAGAAAACTGAATAACGAAAATCGCCTCGTCTCGAATATACGCTTCGAGCGTGGAACGTTTTCGAACCTCCATACAAGCTTTATGCGAAATATTACCCAACATTTTCCCAACGACCAGACTACAATTTTCCAAAGTTGCTCTTTTCCGCAATTTTTTCGCGGGTTTTCTCGGTTTCTTATCTTCCTTACGAAGAAGAAAAAATCAACAAATAAATGCGGCGGGTTTTAACCGAACACACGTGAATATTTCTAAATGAATCCCTCTACCTTCGGGCCCAGAAACCGGGGGAATCCGTGGAAAATGTTGAAAGATCCCGGGTTTTCCTCCCGAGTCTGCGAAATTACGGACAGGAGCGTTCGGCAGAGCGAGATTCGAGTAATCGTGCGTAAGAGATGTCATGCCGATGCGATTCTAAAGTCTCCCTCGAGGTGGATCACGCGAGACGACGGGGACGGTGCAATAACGACGACAAATCACGCGGTTGCCGTTGCGCCGTAAGAAAGTCTCTTTGCGCGCAAGAGAAGAGGACACGAAGGGACTTCCTCTCTTGCTCACGGAGTTCGGTGCAGGATGTAAGTAGCACCGAGCAACCGCCGACGCGATAAGTGCTCTCGCAAATGGACGCAAATAAATGCATCTCTCCCTCGCGCCTCTGCCAGCCTTCCTACCCATCTCTCGGCGGTGGACGCACCCACACCACCGAGAGGAGACCGCGAAGGTACACGTGAACGATAATTGTTTGTGAGCGAATGCACTCAATTTCTCGCGTGCAATACTCCCGCTGGGATCTGCCCAGCGCAGGGCACGGAATGCAAGGAAGGATCGGAGGGAAATTCTTTGAGATCGAGCCGCGGTTGTGCAATGGTTTATTCTGCTGTCGCGACGGAATGGCGTTCTGGCCTTTACAATGCGGGGCGTGATGATGTTCTTCCCTTTCTTGTGCCACGCGCAACCGCGGTTACAAGACGCAACACGATTCAAGTCGACGATCACAACGTTCGAAAATTACAAATATGATCAAATGATAGACCGACAATCACTCGCGAAGTAGTCGCGAGGCCGCGAAAGATGTCTCGTAACGAGATGAAGAGGATTAATGAGATTGATGTCTCGCACGGACGGTCGACCCGTAGCGAGCCGAGATACGCGGAAAATTAGAACCGAACAGCTTGTTCTAATTTCGATTCGAAAAGTCTCTCTCGCTGAGAGTTCGCTCAACGTTTTTTCAACGGTCTCTCCGTGCTCTCGAGGCACCCAGTTTATACACCGATATCACTCTTTTTTTTTAAGCGGAACGAATAGATCGATTGACCTTCGATCGGACGAAGCCTTTTCGATTATGTTCAAGTGTGGCAATGTTTTTTGATACGATATGACAATTAGGTGCTCTTATAACCATGCTCGGCTCACATGATAAGCACGATAACATTAACGTTTTCCGTTTGAATTCAATTAGAAATTTGAACAGATAATAAAAGGGGACAAGAGGCGACCAAGTCGATCCATCCATCCGCCCGGCCGCTTGGCGATGGTAATCTGTCGAATACTTTGTCCGGAATCATCACAGATTAGCCGGCGACGGTCCCTCCCTCTCTTCAACCGGCGGGCGAGATCCCTTAACGAAAACCGCCGCCGCCGCCGCCGTCGTCGCCGGATGTCCTTATAAAAGCCGGCGCGCACCAGCGCCCCGTACGTCTTTCTTCGGCAGTGCGCGCTCTGGACGGATTTCGTCTGTAATCGCAAAACTCTCCTTCTCACACTCCCTCACGATGGTGCAGATCGTCGGCAAGTACCAGTACGTGTCCGCGGAGAACTTCGAGGAGTACCTCAACACTTTGGGCAATACCGAGATCGCGCAATCCTTCCTCCATTCCACGCCGATCATCGAAGTCCAGCAGAACGGCGAGCAGTGGGTCATCACGGTCAACAACAAGGGCAAGACCGGCTGCGCCAAGTTCAAGCTCGGCGAGGTCTACGAGGAGCAGCTGCTGTCCCTGCCGAACTCCTTCAAGGTGCTTCCTTCCGTCCAGCGCTTTCGTGAAAATTCGCGCGTAATTCGAGGACAGTTGATCGGATGAGAAAGAGAAAAACGAAGATTCGAACCGCTGCGCTCAGAGATAATATGTAACCGCTTGTCGCACGGTAGACTTTATTAACACGTTCATTGCCAATCACGCGTCATCGCGTAATAGATATTTAGAGTACATAATAATAAAAGCATATAAATAATATTAACTTATTTTGAGCACAGTAAAAACTAAATAAAAAAATGAAAAAATACGAAATTCCAATTTTCAGCTCGGCAATGAATGTGTTAATATCGTGCTATTCTTTAGGCATGGCGACGCCGAAAGTTCCCAATCGAGAGCATTATTCGTGCATCACGACTGTTGATAATCCGATGAATCGGCGGTCATGATGAACGGATACGTCGACTTAACGCGTGTAATCGAAAAATTCCAGACCGAATAATTATCTATGATTGACGTGTACTTTCAGGTCTGCCGGTCACATCCATTTTCCGAGCCGAGATTGGGTTATTCCCTTAGATCTAGAGGAATAATTTAATTTCGGTGCAGAAAAGTTGTCAGTATTATTGTCAAATAAACGTCTTGCTGAGCGCAGCTGATGCAGATTCGAGAACGTCGTTCCGAACGTTGAGCTCAAGTCGCGCGGATTTAAACGAATCGCGAGAAATATCGTTCTCCCTTCACCTGACGGGATGAAACATTTCATTTCCGCTTGGAACTCTCGACGGACGACGATAATGCACGACGTTCGTTCGCATGTAAATATTTAAAGCAACAGGGGGCTGGTAACAGTTCGATCGCGGAGCGCGATATTTTAAATTGTTCAGCTGTATGTAAAACGCATGTTCCGAAGGACTTTAATTGTTTATCGAGCCAAATTAATTGTCACGCGGAAAGATTCTTGGTTCGGGTTAAGACGAGAGAGCCTCTAATCATGATTAAAATATCTTCATTATCGCGACTGAAAATAGCGTTCGTTTGAATATTCGATTGCCTTATACAACTCGATTGAGATAACCGATAAGGATTCAGTAGAATCTGCCCAGTAATCTCTGTTTGTTCCTACAACCGAGTATTTGTCGAGTCTCTAAATAACAGAAAATTAATTGCACGAACCGAGTCTATTTTCAGTACATAAGCCTTATCAAGGCCTGTAGTCATCTTAATTATTGAAATCTTTCCCCCTTTCTCACCCTTATCTACTGCAAAACGAAATCATATTTATCCGCTAAAGAATTCCATCCCTCCGCAATACAATTTTAAATGTTGCGTCGATATTCATAATTAGTGGCTCTCATCGGTTTTCTCTACCCGCGCAAGCACAGTTTCGTACATGTTTCTTAAAGCTCCTGGGTAATCGCTGTAATTGTTCTTGTTTGATGGCGTTAGAAGCGAGAAAACGCAAAAGAATTCTTGCGTTTTACGTTGAAATACAAAGATATATTCACAAGATGACATTTGTGATCGATCCACTACATTTGTAAAATTATCAATGTTAATTTGCCGACTGCTTATTACTTGTTCGAATAAAAGTGCACGGACAATTTTTACAAGTGTACCGAATCGATCACAAATGTCACTTTGTGAGTATATTTTTTTATTTGAATGTAAAACACAAGAATTCTTGACATGCGTTTTTTCGCTTCTGACGTCATCAAACTAGAGCGACTATTCAGTATGTAAATATCGATTCGCTCTCCAAGCGAAAAATAATCGAGCGCAATCTTCATTCGGATTATGTTTCTCCGACACCTCATTTGCGCAAAGCGAAAAGCAATAAGAACGATAATGGCCCAAGTGTCATTGTTGCGCGTTTCACACAATTCGACTAGTTTAAAAACGCTCGCTTTTCTCAATTTTTCCGCGGAAAGAAGCCGGAAAAAATCAGCGGGAAAAATGGAAAAAAGAATATTTCTCACGTGAAGAGACGAAAAAAGAAAAAAACTGCGGAAAAGTTGAAGGAAATCGGTTTTTCCCGAGTCTCTGCTGAAATTGTAAATTCGACGAATCTCCACCGTCCTCGCGCACAAACAAATCTAACCGTCATGTGTCTTCCCACTGCAGAGTGTCACCACGAGAGAAGGCAACTGCTTCAGAACGGAGACTTCGTTCTCCGCGGATGTCAAGTCGGTCCGAATTTACGAGTTCACGGCCGACGGCATGACCGTGGTAAGTGTGAAATTTGGATATCGCGTGTGCAAGTTCTAACGATATACCACACAGCAAAATCACAACGCGCGCACGTCTAATCACAATCCCCCCCCCCTTTTTTTTCAGCATTTATCGTCCGACAAAAGTGACGTCAAAGCCAAGCGGATGTACAAAAGATTGTGAAATTCCTAACTTAACTAAATACATCGCCTTGTTTAATTAAAGAAATACAAACCTTAAAAAACAAACTCTTTTTTTCTCAAAACACATACTTTCCACTGCTCATCACCAGTTTGTCCATCTTCCCTAAAGAGACAACCGACCCGACGAGGAGGCGAGGTGGGAATAACGGAGCGGACGTTGAGTCTGTGTTCTCACACGGTTCAAACGTAATATGTTATTTATTTAAGTATGAATTCTGAGAAAGAAAAATAAAATGGTGACAAATACGCGTACACAAGAAATCGGAATACCACGCATATCCACGCGTGTAAAAACCGCTAAGCTCTAATATACTCTCTCTCTCTCTCTCTCTCTCTTTCTATTTCTCTGGTACGAAGCCGCATAATGCATATTATGTCGAATATTGTGCGTGTGTACGAGAACGAGGCGGGACGGCGTCCCTCTTCGAAGGACCACTCGCTATCATTCATCTCGCGCGCAAAACAAAACACATCGATCAACATTCGCATCCCCGATTTCGTGGCGAGGGCGCGAACCACCCCCGCAGAGACACCGCTCTCTCTGTGTTATCCTTTCTCTCCCGTTAATTCGTATTATTCTCGTATTTATTCTCGCCACATTCCTCTCCTCTCCCTCCTCCGTAAAATCGTATCAACCAAAACTCCAACGATGACGTCAAGTCGGTGAAAAAGAAAAAAAAAAAACAAAAAAATAAAAGAGACATACAAAACACCATTCTTCTCTTCGATCGAGCGATTCGTCGCGATACACATATCGAGAGCGTCGCTTCTAGCCGCGTGCTCTAATCATGGAAGCATTCCGACATTGAACTACAAAGCGTTAAACGTAGGAAAGAGCAATTTGTGCATGGTAAGAAGCTTAGTAATAAGCACGAGCGCAACGATCATCACCGGCGCCGATCGCGTCGGAAAATTTGGTCCTAGAAAATCGGATATATTGCTACCTCTTCTTTTCACCAGTTTGCCATTTCTTCTCTCTCACTGAGAAAAATTTATGTATAATTATATAGGATACTACGTATATAATTATATATAAATCACCACTCTTATTCCCATCTTTATCGCTTTCATTCTCTATCCTTGAACCTTTGGATCTCGCTTCCCATTTTCCCCTTTTCTCTTCCTTTCTCTATTCATATACAACACACATATAAATCCCTTTCCCTCCCACCCTTCTTTCTTTCCTTCCCCTCTTTCTCTCTTTCTCTCTCGTATCGTTTGGATTTATTTAATAGTATGTAAGGTATCACATTAAACCATAAAGGGTGCTGTACATTGGATAGTAATTATATTATTATTATTATCATGATTACGAGCCAACTATATACAGGGAGTGCGGCGAAATTGGTACGATCGAAAACGGGATAATTCCGATTGCATGAGTGATAAGCCGGAAATGTGAAATGTCAAAGAATTGGAGAATGCAAACACCGGTAATACCTTTTCTTTCTTTCTTTCTTTCTTTCTTTCTTTCTTTCTCTCTCTCTCTCTCTCTCTCTCTCTCTCTCTCTCTCTCTCTCTCTCTCTCTCTCTCTCTCTTTCTCTCTACTTGGGGCTCGAACGATCTTCGAGAATCTGGTGTCACGCGTCAACGAACTCGTGTCCTGCACATATACAATTATTATTAGAATACGATTAAAATAACATTTCTAAAACTAAACGAGAAAAAGAAACTACATCACCAAAATATAAATTACTAAACATATAATTGTGCATAAATCGAATTAAATCGTAAGAGAGAGAGCACTGGTTTCTTTTTTGCGAAATATACGTGCGTGCAGTTTTACCAATAAAATTCTTGACTAATCTTCGCACGAAGAATCATCTCCTTTTCGATCCACTATTATCCTCGCCGTCATTGCCTGTATATCTCGCAATGAATTCAACGTTAAGAATAGGAACAAACAATAATAAATACGCTTCCTCCTTCTCTTCTTCATATCTCTCTCTTCTCCCACACTCTTTCTCTCTCTTTCCCGTTTCCCCTCGTTTCATTTACTCTTCCTTTTTTGCACGAGTAGGTGTGTCACGAGTAATCGTTATCAATTATAATGCATATATAAAATTAAAAAATTGTAAAAAATCCATCGAGTTTTGTTAAAAGTTAAGAGTAACATACCGCCACATTGTTCAGTTAGGATAAAGGTTGAAAGTCCATTTTTTTCTTTCAGGCCGTCACGGGCACCACCTGATTCCTCTCGCGATCTCAGCACAAGGATTAAATATTACGTAAATCATACTCGTCGTCATATTTACATAATTATCATCAATCCCCATGGTTTCCATCTCCTCCTCCTAAGCTTCGCTTTTCCTTCGTTCACCTTCTCCCCTCCTTAATATATATTTCCACGATTTTGCTTCTAATTTAACTTTGCGAATCGCGGCAATGTCGAAAGCAATGTTTAGGGTATGCGCGTCGCTCTCCTACCTCCTTCTCGCTCCTCCCCCCCCCTCCCTCGCCCTCTTCCACCTCTCGATGGTAGATAGAAACATCTCCGTTACATATATATATATATTTACGTAATAATAGTAAAAATTCTCCGGTCGACATACATTATAGTATATTCCCTAAGCACTACTAGCGTACGTTCTGCGCGCGCGCAGGCGTGTAGTTTTTTCTTTTTTTTTCTCTCCATAAATAATAAGAAGGAAAAACCCTATTTCGCGCGGTCGGTCGGTCGGTCCGCGCGATGAAACGTCCGCGAGACGACGTGTGATATAAACCTAGGCCGGCGTGCGTTGTCGCGAGACTGCTGCGATGACAGCGGCGGCGACGACGGATCCTCAGATGGCCGGTCGGCCGATTCAATCGGCGGTCACGATGAGCTGATTGTCGGTCGGCACGTCCACCGGCGACGCGTCCTTCCGCGGCACGTCGTCGTCCACCACCAGCTTGTCGTTCGTCATCATCGCGGAGATAACGTTGTTCGCCACCGTGCTGTCGGGTACTCCGTTCGGCAGCGCCTTGGCCTTGTTGTTCGACGACGGGGTCGTCTTGGGCGTCGTCGACAGCTTGGACGCCGCGGCGACTTTCGTGATCTTCTTTATGGGCGAGGTGGCGGCAGCGGCGCTCGGCGATTTCCCGCTGCTCGCGCGTGACTTGGCAGCGGCGGGCGCGGAGACGCGGCCGGCGGCCTTCGGCGCCGCCGTCGACGACGCCCCGGTGGTGCTGCGTCCGAGGAAGATTCGCTTGTTGGCCGTCTCCTTGATCTGCTTGTCGATCATGGGCGACTTCACTGTGCTCGCTTTGGCGGTGTTGTCGCGCGACTTGGCGACGCCGCTGGAGACCGGCGCGGTTTTGGGCCTGGAGGACGACGTGTTAACGCCGCTGGTCGGCTTCGAAGCAGGGGCGGTCGTGGACGATGTCTTGACGGCCGCGGAGGCGGACACGGGTCGTGGCTTGGAGGCGGCCACGGTGGACATGGACGTTCTGCTGGTCGTCGACGAGGACTTGACTACTAGTGCGGTAGCCTTCGTGCCGCCGTTGCTAGTCGCGCTCTTGCTCGTCGTCGACGACTTTGCAGCGATGGGTGGTTTGTTGCCGGCGAGCTGCTTCGCGTCGCCGTTCGCCGTCGTAGACTTCTTGTCGGGCGCTCCGCTGCTGCTGCTGATGGCGCTCAGCTTCGGCGAGGTTGCCGTGGTTCTCGCTTTCGTTGTACCGGAGCTGACGCGCGAGGTCATCGCGGTGCTCTTCGTGGAAGTCGCTGCGGCCTTGGCGGTCGTCGTCTTCGCGACGCTCTTCGCAGTGCTGCTGGAGACTGCGCTCCTGGCCGGCCCGTCGAGCTGCTTCGGACGAGCCGCCGGCTTCCGCGCCGCCGCCGCCGACGTCGTGCTCGTCGTTCGCGCGGCCGTCGAGCCCACGGCGGCTTTCGAGGGCGAGGTCGGCGTGGATTTCGTTGACGCTGCTACCTTCGTTGTCGACGCGCTCGCTTTCGTTGTAGTTGCGGCGACGGTGGTTTTCGTCGGCCGTTTCGCCGCAGTCGCGCTCTTCGTCGTCTTCGCGGAACTCACGACGGCGCCGACCGCCGCCGTGGCCGCTGCTGCGGCCGCGACCGCTGTAACGGCTGCTGCTCCTGTCGTCATGCCCGCTTCTTCAGCGACCGTGGCCTCTGTGACGGCTCCTGTCGTCATGCTCGCTTCTTCAGCGACCGTGGTCTCTGTGACGGCTCCTGCCATCATGCTCGCTTCTTCAGCGACCGTGGCCTCTGTGACGGCTCCTGTCGTCATGCTTACTTCTTCAGCGACCGTAGCCTCCGTGACGGCTCCTGACGTCATGCTCGCTTCTTCAACGGCCATGACCTCTGTGACAGGTTCTGTCGTCATGCTTGCTTCTTCAACAGCCATGGCCTCTGTGACTGCTCCTGTCGTCATGCCCGCTTCTTCAGCGACCGTGGCCTCTGTGACGGCTCCTGTCGTCGTGCCAGCTTCTTCAGCGACCGTGATCTCTGTGACGGCTCCTGTCGTCGTGCCAGCTTCTTCAGCGACCGTGGCCTCTGTGACGGCTCCTGCCGTCATGCTCGCTTCTTCAGCGACCGTGGCTTCTGTGACGGCTCCTGTCGTCATGCTCGCTTCTTCAGCGACCGTGGTCTCTGTGACGGCTCCTGCCATCATGCTCGCTTCTTCAGCGACCGTGGCCTCTGTGACGGCTCCTGTCGTCATGCTTACTTCTTCAGCGACCGTAGCCTCCGTGACGGCTCCTGACGTCATGCTCGCTTCTTCAACGGCCATGACCTCTGTGACAGGTTCTGTCGTCATGCTTGCTTCTTCAACAGCCATGGCCTCTGTGACGGCTCCTGTCGTCATGCTCGCTTCTTCAGCGACCGTGGCCTCTGTGACGGCTCCTGTCGTCATGCTCGCTTCTTCAGCGACCGTGGCCTCTGTGACGGCTCCTGTCGTCGTGAACGCTTCTTCAGCGACCGTGGCCTCTGTGACGGCTTCTGTCGTCGTGAACGCTTCTTCAGCGACCGTGGCCTCTGTGACGGCTTCTGTCGTCGTGAACGCTTCTTCAGCGACCGTGGCGGCCTCTGTGACGGCTTCTGTCGTCGTGAACGCTTCTTCAGCGACCGTGGCGGCCTCTGTGACGGCTTCTGTCGTCGTGAACGCTTCTTCAGCGACCGTGGCCTCTGTGACAGCTCCCGTCGTCGTGAACGCCGCAGCGGTCGTGACCTCTGTGACGGCTCCTGTCGCCGTGGACGCTGCAGCGGTCGTGGCCTCTGCGACAGCTCCTGCAGCCGTTATGGTTTCCGTCTTCGGTTCGTCCACTTTCGCGACAATATCCGCCGGCGGTTCCACGCTTTCCTCTCCGTGCATGGGAGCACTCTCGATGATGGCTTCCTCCTCCTCGGCCGGCGCGTCGCTCGTAGATGCGACCTCCGCGGGCTCCTCCTCCTGCTTCTCTTTCTCCGGTCCCGGCAGCACACTGCTAGGCGCCGAGGTCTCCGTCGGCACGTTGTCCAGCAGGACCGACCGGATCATTTCGCACTGCGCTTGCTCTTGCAGCAAGTTCGCGAACGGACTTGACACGGTCGTGTCGCTCGTCGGCGCGACGTCGTCGACGTTCGCGACAGCCGTTTCTTCTTCACCGGCCTTGAGCATCGGCTCGCCGAAATCCAAGTCCACGAGCTCCGCGGAGTCTTTCACGATTTCACCCGGCAAATCGGCCGGTAGACTCACGTCGACATTCGCGGGCGGCGCCTCTTCCTCAGCCTTGAACACCGACTCGCCGTACATCGAGGCTGCGAGCTCCCCGACGGAGCTGTCCACGATTCGCTCTTGCGCCGGGAAGTCGTCCGACAGATTCAAGTCGACACTTGCGAGCGTCGTCGCTTCGTCGGCCTTGAATATCGACTCGTGGCAGCTCGGCTCTGTAGGCTCCAGCTTCGCGACCTCCTCCTTCGGCGCCATCAGATCGATTATCCGATCGATGTCTTCGTTCGTGTAGAAGTCCGTGGTGATCTTCGTCTCGTCCATCCTCGCGTCGCTCAGCTTGTCGGCCTGCGAAACGTAGTCCATCAGTGTCGCGCTTTCCTCGGCCTCGGTGCTCAGGAGCGATTGTTCATTGGCCGATTCTTGCCGCGCGGTCGCTGCCGGTGTCACCGTGTTGTTTTCTCGCTCCATCGCGCAAACGTCGCTCTCCCACGGTTGTTGATCCACAGCAGTCGCTGTCACTTCGGCCGGCTCCTCGGTGAAGCTAAGGATTCCCGTGTCCTGGGCGACGGTCGACGATGCCGCCGCTTTCGAGTCCAAGGGATCCTGAAGAAAGCCGGACGCGTCGCTCGTGCTCGAGACGAAGTCCGGAGCGAACGAATCCAAGTCGTCGTGTTGTCGGCTCGGCGTGAAATCGGGGACGTGCAGAGGCGATGAGGCGAGCAACGCGCCCGAGGTGGATTCGGCTTCCACGGAGGATATCGCCGTCGTCTCCTCTTCCACCGGTTGCGGCGAGGCGCTCTCCAGTGTGTCTTGCATCGGCGACAAAGAGGACCCCTTCGCGCAGAATTCCGCCGGATTCGGAGCCTCCAGCAGCAGATCGGAGACCGCGAACTGCGCGTTCTCGCTTACTTCTTCCAGCAGTTGCTGCGACCGATCGATCTGCTCGGGCTTCTCAGCCTCGTGTTCGCTCGAGCGGTCGTCCTCGAGCGGGCAAACGCCGAGATCCTGCTCCATGAGCAGCGTCTGCTGCTGTTCCGCCGCCAAGCTCGAAATCTCGTCCGCCGTGAGACTGGGCGAAGACTTGCCGTCGGGGTGCGGCGTCGAGGACGCGTGCAGAAGATCGTCCGGCTTTTCGTTCAAGAAAGGTGAATGCGCGTCGTTCGCGTACGGTTCCGGTGAGCGAGGCGGTGTGCTGTTCATCGGCACGTAACACTCGTTCGCTTCGGCTTCGTTCTCCGTGCCGCTCAGGTCGTGCACGGCGTTCAGGTCGACGCCTCGTTCGAACGCCGCCTCTAGGTCACCCGGCGCGAACGACATCGCCATGGGGTCCGTGGCGATGTCGTATTCCTCAGGCCCGCCGGTGTCACCCTCGCGTATCTTGCCGCTCCACTGCTGCGTAGTCGCCATGATGCGCGCGATGGACTCGTCGCCCAGCTCGGCTCTCGTCGACGAGATCTCCGAGACGTCGAGGCCGCCGCTCTGCAGGTTCTCGTGGTCGCCGTTCGTGTAGTCCTTCTCGTCCGTTTCCCGCGGCCGATGCGACACTTCCTCCTCGAACTCGCTCTGGGTCGGGACGGGGATGTCGTCCATCGCGAGCGCGGTCTGCTTCAGGGGCGAGCCGCTGATGGGGAAGTCCACGATGTTCCGGCGGTCCATCAACGTGGGCGACACCGCCGTCGGCACGAACTCGGCCGCGTTCGGGTTCAGTTGGAAATCCATGTCTGCTTCTTGATCTTGTCTCTCTTCTTCCTCTTCTTCTTCGCTGTGGGCGAGCTGTTTCTCCGGCTCTTCTCTCAGTTCTCTCTCGTTGCTTATCTGAAAGCGCAACATAGTGTTACACTTCGAACGTATACGTGTACACACAGACACACACACACTCTCTCTCTCTGACTGAACGACAGATTCTTCTATCGATCGCGACGCGAGATAGTCGACGCGACAACAACGCTGGATACTCACATCGGTGTCAATAAGCTCAGACGGGGCCTCCTCCGTCCGTCTTTCGCATTTAATATCGTCCGCTTCTTCCAGAGACTGGACTTCCGAGTTATCCTTCACAACAAGCTCGGGATCCTCCCGTACGTTCTTCTCCTCGTCGCCCGGGGCTGCAGCGGCCGCCGTTACGGACTCCTCTTTGTTCGGATCGATACGGTAGTAATTCCACTCGTCCTCGGAATCCTCGCTGTCCGCTACATTATCCGCTTCGGGGATCAGTACATGCTGAAGAGGTTCTGGAAGAAGCGCGACAGAAGTTTTAGAGAGAGAGAGGGGGAGAGAGAGAGAGAGAGGAGAGACAGGGAGGGGAGGGGTGAATTCACTAACGCTACCACCATCTTCTCCTCTTCCACTTCTCCCGTAGTTTTCATCGGATGTGCAAAAGGATCGCACATTCGCTGACAAGCTAATATCGCTACTTGCACATCTCGCACCGTATTGGACAGGAAAAAAGGGGGCCGGGGCGGGAGATTTTCCGTTGCATCGCAGCAACGATCCGACGCAGTGAATGAAAAAATCCATCACACGTGTGCTCTTACGTGCGCGCGCGTGTGTGTGTGTGCGTCGAGTAAACGTGACGTTCTTTCTTCAATAATTTATTGACTTCCTCGAGTTCTCATACAGGTGCTCTCAGGTGCCATTCTATTACGAGGGGAGGGAAGGGAGAGGGTATACACCGACAGAGAGTATATACCGTCGAGAGTTACTCGTACGTGACACACGTTAAACATATAATATCGCAACTTGATTTCCATACTTTTCCTCAGTCCGTCGAGACGGATTCGGCCTCTCTTATCTTGTCTCGGCTGGAGCGGACTTCGCAAAGAAAAAAAAAAAACTCATCGTTTCCGGCGCACAAATCGCGAGAGAGCCCGGAAGCCTGCCGCCCGCTTATTACGCGGCGCGGTAAACGCGCGCTCGAGTTCCACTGCAATTCGAGCCCAATAACTCGTGAGAGAAGGAGCATTACGGTAATCCCCACGAACCGCACGCTTCCACTCGCCTCGTTAGCGTCAGCGGAGCTAACGTGTAATACGTACCTGCGGAGTACACACCTCAGTCCTAATGACCGTAGGAGTATCGAACGGAGGAGAGTCGCCGGCGATCAGTCAGCAGCAGCGGCGCGCGAGAGCTGGAGCTCGCGAGGAGGAGGACGCGTATCGAACGACAGCGGCGATAAGATACGCGCGTAGATACTCCGCGAGGTACGCAGTATACTCGAGCGACTCGGCGACACCCACCCACCCTCTGTCACGCGACCGGCACGGTCGTAAAACGGAACGACTCTTCGCGGAGCGATCGCCCTCCGGTGACTAAGAGGAACTACGCCCGCCAAGAGATGCATTATCGATCTAGTCCAGAGAGCACCCCTCCTCCCTGCCTTCCTCCCACTTCATCGCTTCTACACCGCCGCTGCCGCCACCCATCCACCCGACCGCCCACCTGTGCACCGTGTCGCGACAGGGGTAGGAGGAGGAGAGGAGAGTCACCCCCCGCGATTGGATGAAGGACCTCGGGAAAGCGTCGAACGATCGTCGTCGGCACGTCCGAACACCCGACGAGGGCGACTTCGACAATTCTTGACCTTCTCAACGGGCGATTTTCCGGCCGGGTTTCACGCGTTTGACGGGAGAGAAACGACTTCGGTCTCGAAGCGCCCTACCCTCGCTTTGACCTCGGGGATTTTAATGGGGGGACAACGGAATTAGCTCTCGACGAGGGCCCCTACACTCCTTCTTCTATTCCCGGCCGAGGGTGAGATTTTCCGCGACGCTGCTCCGTGTCGGATTTATTTACGGGCGGTTCGTTAATGAGCGATTAACTTTTCCGCTGGAAAAGTGTTCGATACAATTTTAAATTGCGTCACAGGCGAGAGACAGGCGATCCCGCCGGCGGAGCGACGAGAATCCCCGCGTCGAGAGCCGAGTCCGTCGCGTTCGCAGAATCAAATAAATCCCGAGTGTTTCATTAAATTCGCGAATTTATTCGGCCGTGTGATCGTTATAAGCCTCTGGCCGATATATTACAAATTCACGCCAGTATTGCGCACGTCGTACAAGTGATATTTTAATCCTGCGAGACGCGACAGGTGTAAATCGGAAAAACGGCAAGCCTGCACGCAGAAAAATACACATTTCATTCAAGTACTTTATAAGTTTATATATCCGCAAGTATATCCATAAGTTCATCGTAAGCTTCAAATTTATTCAAAATAAAGAGTGCATCTGAACTCTACCGACATTTACGGGACAAATTCTGCGTTGAAAAATGAATATTAAAAAAAGAAAAAAGAAAAGTTTTTATAAATATATGTCTGCAAAAACTTGATTATTGAGATATAGATTAGATGATCGTAAAACACGATTTAATGAATAAAATATATATTTTCTTAAACTGAAGTCGCGGTAATTACATCTCAAAAACAAAGTGTTCGAAGACATATATTTACTAAGATTTTTACTTATTTTTTTATATAAATCCTGCGAATTTGTCAGCGGAGTTCAGATACACCCTGTATATGTTCTGAATCCTAGTAAATTTAGTACTTCAATCAAGAATATTAATTAAATTAAAAGCACTAAAGTTGAAACCTCGGTTTACTTACTCTAATTAATTGATTAATCTAACTTTCTTTCCATAACAATATTCTTCGTTTGCAATATTCTTGAAAAGAGCATAAATTCTTCTTTCGAGTAAATGATAACAAGGCTTTTCCAATATTTGTGTGACGGGTGCGATTTAAGTACTATTATCAGAAAATATTCCTCGTTCGAGATAACCGTTACTTAGAAAGGAAAAGTAAACTAAGTATATTGCTTCTCCTCGCAGTACAATTAATATTTTTCTCCGTGTGTGGGAAGAATTCCCCCTTTCGAAGCTACACGCGTGAAATATATTTTCGTTATACCGCTCCGACGTGTCGGGACAAAGCGAGAGCATATTTAGACCGAGAAAAGGGGGAAATTATAAAAAGCTCCACTGAAAGGACAGACTTGCGACGATCACACCAGGCGAAACCTCCATCGGCGGTCCACCTGGCTGCAGGCCGGAAAAACCTACGTGAAAACTGGTTAAGGGAGGCCGGGGAAAAAAGCACGACCTACGCGGCGCGAGCGCTCGCTTAACCTGTTCTTAATTTCGTTTTAAGTTGCTTCGCCCACCAACGCAAACTCGTGCCAACCAAGTTCTCTCTCTCTCTCTCTCTCCCACGCGCTCTCTATCACGTGAAACGCGCTTCACATCCGTACGGATACGCGCAAGGCGCATAAAACGCCGCGGGTTCGATGCTATTGTATCCGACTTCGAAAAATGATATCCCGCAGCGCCGGAAACAGATATGTACATACGGGTGGAGCGAAAGGGAGGAGCGCGCGAAGATTCGCGTCGATAACGAATCGCAATCGCGCCGAGCACTACATCCTCCTCCACTTCGCGGACTCTCTTCATTCTTCCAAGTTTTTTTTTTCTTTGAAGGGGCGTGCACCTTTCGAAAACGAATGACCAGGAGGTCGATCGTGTATCTTCGGTGATTTTTCTCATATTTTCCCTCGCATTTTCATCTCATGCGAATAAATACACGCGATTGGCTACAGGTGAGGAAAGGATTTCTTCGAATTTAATAAATTCTATCGCATCGAAACAAACTTCATCATTGGCATGCTCCGAAATAGTGTTTCGATCAATAAGTACGATTGTCAGACCTCTCAACGAATGTGTATCTTTATCTAAAATAGAAAATTTGCTTGAAAGATAATTTTCTTATAAGGATAATTATTCGTTTGATTTTACATACTTATTGTAACCAAATAATATTTTAATCGGTTAAGAGATATTATTTCCAATAATAACATTTTTTCTGTTAAATAGTCGAGTTTTCTTGAATGAGACAATAAAATGTTTACTCAAACAAATAATATTTCGTATAGGTATATGTTGTTTCTATGAAACAAATTTCAGTGAAATAAATAGAAATACGAAATTTCAAGAACCCTTCTTTTTTTCTCTGTATAAGTGAGAATACGGTATCTCCGCGACACCGTGCTGTGTCATTGAAGAAGAAAGCGCATCGCGCGACCAACGCCCGACAACGCGATTCCAGGCTCGTCGCGGAACGACGGAGCGTGCCACCACCCGGAGATGGTGCGGGAGAGAGGGCGGAGGGAAAAAGCGCGAGCGTGTCATCCTCTTTTGCCGTCTCTCTTCGTTCTCTGTTTTTTTTTTCATTTTCACGAGAGCGCCGCGGTCGACGCGCGACGTATGTATCGGTCGTGAGAGAGCACGCCGAGTAAGAGGGAGAGTTAATTTTAAACCGACGTCAGGAGGACCGACGAAAGTGCGCGAATGAGAAAGAGAGCGAGGGGACAAATGGAGGGAGAGAGAGAGAGAGAGAGAGTAAGAGAGCCCCCAGGTTCTCCCGGTTATATCCTGGGACATAAAAGAGATTCGGTCCGTCAAGACGGTATGCGCCCAAAAAGTACGAGTACGTGCGCACGAGAGTACTCGGGGAGATATTCGCGGATCGGTTATTATAGATCCAACAACGCCATTTGGGAAAGTTATGCGGCGACGCGACGCTTCGCAAAGGATCAATTTCGAGGCATAACACGAAAATATGATGAAACATACGTGTGAAGAAATATCACGTGATATACATGAGTATAATGTAATGTACGTTAAAATATGTAAGGACACGTAAGAAATATCACGGGAAAAATCTGGAAAAAATGGTCGCTCTGTACAGATAAAAAAAAAAAGAAGTTTCTTTGGATTTAATATACGTGTTTGTTTTGCTTGGGTTTGTTTAATATAAACAACATAATTGAATAGAAAAATATAATTTTGTTTGAATAAATACAAACATAATTTAATATCCAATATCGTTTTGTTTGATGATTTTGTTGTTTCACTAAAATAAACCATGTTGTTTAACAGAGAGAAAAAAAAACAGTATTATTTTGTGGAAATATTTGGTTTCTAGTTATAAAAAAAAATCTTGTATATTATTGTTTCAACTTTTAATGAAACAAAAAAAAAAAACGCTCTAATATTTCTCTAGCATAATGTTACTCCTTTCAAATAATTATTTGTGACAACTATTGTAATGCTTGAATGTGATATGTTATTTGACGTAAAAAATATATCATAGAAACCAGTTCTGTTTGTTGAATCGAACATTCGTTTTTTCGCTCCACTGCAAAAGACAGATTTGTTTCAATTGACGAAAGGAAATTTCACC